TAGTGCTGAAGAGCAGCCTGCTGAGAAAGAGCTGCAGTCCCTTCGCTGGGGGAGACCGTTGCTACACTCCATCTTGAGGGGCTGCGTGACGGGCTCACCCCACTAGCTGCTGCTGAACTGGAATGCCTAACTGATCCGACAGCTGAGGGTTCAAGTATCTCACCAGCAGAGGAGCGATGGAAAGCCAGCCGAAACACTGGAAAGATCAGGGTATCTGCCTTTTTTTTTTTTGAGTCAATGGAAGGAGATGGCTTTTTGTTTTGTTAATCTCTTACCTCAACAGCAGTGGAGACGGGTAGGCTTGAGCAGTTTGGGTGAAAACATGGGTAAGGTACAGCACTGCTTGCATAAGTTTAAAGGATTGCAACAGAGATGTGGAACTACTGTGTGCTGTGCAGCAGTAGTGTTTAACAAGGCATGGAGTCACGTGTAGGCCTAATTGGTGCAGAACTTTCTTCGCAGTTGTTTTCAATTGCTGGGGCCAGTCTAAGCGGTAAGAGATGGCGGTTTTTCTGTAGCCTTGGTATTAAAAGGAAGAGGGGGTCGTCATCTGTTAAACCAGATGTGTGCGCAGAACTGCGTGTGGTGGAAAGGTTTCTGTAAAATGGCCATGAGATTAACAGCCCAACCTTTGAACACCACTTTTCATTCCTGGAGCGAGCAGGAATTTTGTACAAAGGTAAACGGGGATTAGGACTAGAGTGGGCAAAGAATTTGAATTTTATGTACTGTATTCGGACCTTTTTTTAAGTTATCCACAATGCCTGCTTCAGTGTGTGGGTTCTGCTAGCTTATTTTAAGAAACCTCTCGGTTCTCATGCAACTTTTTTTTTTAATTCCTGAGATTAACTTGGCACTGCTTTTTTTTAAAAATGTAGCTGAATAAGTGTAAAATTGCATAATTGCGATTGCTGGATAAGAATGCAGTCCCTGGGTTTCGCTGATCGGCTTCAGTCTAGATTACAGCGAGCACTTTTCACCCACAGCCATCTTTCTTCCGCCGCTCGTCTCGGTGAAGCCTGATTGAAGGAGCGCGAATGCTCAGACACTGGCGGGACTGGGTGTTCCTGCAGCGCCAGTTGCTCTGTGGGTTATGACGGCTGGGGAGGGGTTGATGAAGGCGCAGGTTTTGTTCTGATGCAACAGCTGGCTGGGCAGCTATGATGTGTTGAAACCTGGAGAAAGTTCCAGGAGATGCAAGCAACGATTGTCACATTGCATCAGTTGGGAACAGAGGCTGACTTCACACCCCGTCAGCTTCCTGTCCGACCGGGCGACAAAGAGGAAACGGCCAGAGAGGGACGCTGGCTCGATGACTCGCCATTTTAACAGCGAAGCTAAAGCAGGCTCTTCTGTCCTCCTGCGGGCTGTGTGTCGTGCCAGGGTTGGCCCCGGTCTGAGATGGGCAGGTTTCTAGACCTGTAATAACCTGAGAACCATGTCGGAAAAGAATCGCTCCATTTTAGTAATCATTACACCTCCACTCAAACTGCTGTACAGGTAATGGGGATTCCCTTCACCACCAGTGTGCAGGCCCACATGGTGATGCGACAGCAGCCATAGTGCACCAGTACACTCCCCACACACCAGCTCTCGGGGGGAGGAGAACAGAGAAACGAAACCAGTTCAGAGATGGGGATTATTAGGAAGCCATGACTGGTAAAGGCCCATGGGAAATTTGGCCAGGACATTAGGGTAACACCCCTACTCTTTCTTTGAGAACCAAGTCAGTACCTCGGTTTTAGGTCTCATCCACAAGACAGCACCTTTTTTTTTTTACTGTGTCCCCATTACTATACTGGAGTATTAGGACCCACACAGACTGCAGGGTGAGCGCCCCCTGCTGGCCCCACTAACATCTCTTCCAGCAGCAACCTCTTTCCCAGGAGGTCCCCAGACCAGGTACTGGCCAGGCTCTCTCCTGCTGAGCTCCAGTGGGCTGTCAGTTGTATTTTGATGTGATTTCATCAAAAACCTGTGACTTTCAAGCAGGTTTTGGATGGACACTGGCTGCTGTCCCTTATCGGAATTAATGTTCATTTGGGGACTCTGTAAATATATCTTTGTTACGCTGGGCACAAGAGCAAAAGGAGATTCACAAACCCCGTGTTGTATCCCAGCTGCCAATTCGGAGAGGAAATGTCAGGAATTAACTTCTGGAGTGCAGATGGGGAAGAAAGGGGTTACACTTCTATAATGACGATTCTTGCTGAATCTCATGCAGTTCCAGGAGGGCTTATGAGAGTTGCAAGAAGTACATTAATAGTAATAAGTAAACTATTAACTCTGAGCTGTAATGCTTCACCATGCACCCCTGATGAACTGCCTTCATCCTATCTGGACCCCGAGTACTGCGTGGTTTACCGGCGATGGTGTGCAGAAGACCAGCACATGCAGTTTATTGACAATGTCTTCCAGCTGCTGCCTGAGGGCCTGGGTGTGAAAGTAACTGTACCTGTAGTATGCAGGATGTACAGGGATTTCCTATCCCAGATTGACAGTGCTTGCTTTATCTAAGGAAGCTCTTCGGATCCCTGCTTTATCACTCGGAATCTGCAGCTGGGGTGGGTGGCTTTGCATGTGGTTAATAGCAGAAACATTCAGGAAGCCGGTGATTTTTTTTTTTGATCGCTTGATAAATTTTGAATACGGTTCTTTCTGAGTATTAACTGCTATTAAAACGAGTGTTTTTTGAAGCTGTAGACGGAATTATATCCCCAACAAGTGCTGTGACAAAAGGTGAAGGTAATCTTGCTCCGAGAGAAACTGGTGCGTGATAAGTCCGTGATCAGTTCAGCTCGGTGACTGAAATTTGGTGTCGTTCACGGCAAATAAGAGCGACTCTTTCATTAAAGCTAGTTTCTCTTTCGGTACGCTACTCGGCATTATACCCTTTTGCATGCTTTGGACGCGCAGTGAAACCGTATCACCCGCATATGCTCCGTTTTCAGTTGTCGATCTGGACGTCCGTGCGGCAGAAGCGCGGTCGTGCGTGACGTGAGGCGGTGGGGGGTCTGACAGCCGCGCAGTCTGTGTTTTGGGGTGCCGGGGGTGTGATCTGGGAGGGAGGCGACGGGCCGGGGTGCCGGAAGCTGACGGTGCGACTGACTCAGCCCGGCAGCCCTGCTCCTGCGAGAGAGAGAGAGAGAGGAGGGGGGGCATATCAGACCTCCAAGTGACCTAGCAGGAAGTGAAAAGCCTTTCTTTTTCGGTCAGCTGTGCTTGTAGCTGGTGCATGCAAGCAGGCACAAGATGGATGCCAAGCTGGGTTAGTCCTTTCATTTATTAAAGCGTGCGTCTCTTCTTTCTTTTTCTTCCCCCGCCGGTGTGCTTTACGGTATGGGTGTCGCTTCGTATTGTTTTCGTTTGTCTGTTTTTTTTTTTAACGAAATCGGTGCATTGTCGTGCTGACGCCGTAGCGGGGGGGAGGGGGGCGGCTGATATTGCGAGCCGGCGGTGTGGTCGGGGCGTTGCGGCGAGAGGCCCCGGACTGGTCGGGGCTGCTTTTCGGTGCCGACATCCGAGCTCCGGCGCTGCTCGGGAAATGGGCTGAGGAAAAAAACAGCCGCCTACACCCCCCGCCCCCCCCGTCGAGGATCGCCACCATTAAGTGTCTGGAGGAGAAAGATCTCGATTAGAAAGGGGGTCGTAATTGGATGAGATCAGCACGTAAGTCACTGCTGATAGTGCTGGTGCTATTTTTAGCTGGACCAGATTACCAAATGTAGGCAGCCACCTTCGGAGGAGACAAAGGCTGGAAAACGCGCTGTTTTCGAGACTGCGTTACAGGCACCTGCTTTCACAGCTGCAGGAGGAGAAACGCCAGCATTGAGCATTTTCTCCTTTATGGGGAGCATTTCTGTCTCCGACATTCGCTAGGTTGGGTTTTCACGCTGTTGTCTTTCAGGCGCTGCGCATTGCTGAATGGATTTCTGCATTTGTCTCGCCAGCCGAAATCGGTCTTAGGCTGGGCTACTTTTGCCACGGACACTCCCCTCCATATTTAGACAAAAATCGGACCGTCTCGCCTACATCTTTCCCCTGTCGGACTGTTAGCAGCTTGTCGGTCTCAGGCGTGTTGGCGCCTCTCCAGCCTGCTGCTCAGACGCGTTTTCCTTTCTTCTCACCGCGGGCTGTGCTGCTTTATTGTAACATGTTGGGGTGCCTTTCCGATCTTGGAGAGATTCCTTTGACTCGGCCCTGGGAGTCAAACACGGACATGTCGAAGTGCAGTGCGGTGTCGGGGCTCGCGGGACGAGTCTGTCCACGCAGGTTTAATTCACGGGGGGTGATTTGTAGTTTAGCGACAGCACGGCCTGCCCCCGGTTCGTGACTCTCGGGGCTGCTGTCGAGGGGAGAGTAGTGGAATAGAAGCCGGGAGTCCCCCTTCGTCACAGCTGTTAGGAAGTGCATGTTCTCACTTGACACCTGCCCCAGTGAGGGCGATAAGCGTGGCTCAGGAGTGCTCTGGGGAGCTGAAACCCGATCAGAATTGTGAACTTGAGCGCAGTGGAGTGAAGGTTAGCGTGCCCGAGTGCTGGGCTGCTATTCTGGTAGTGAAGGTCGGCCTGGCCAACATTTGAAACGGGGTTTAGGGTTGCTCACAGGTGCCTGGGGACTCCCCCTGGACTCTCTGAACCCATTCAGAAAAATGTCCTGAGATGTGTTGGGGGAGTGCTGTAGTGCTTTGCTTCCTTGCGAACAGACTGCATCAAGCCACACTCTTTGAAAGAATCCATGAAGCTGAGCACTTGTATGTATACGTGAGCCCTTTAGAATTAAAGCTAGGATCGTTACCCCCCCCATCTGGTTACCTGATCTATTTTGTGTTGTCACATTTGGAAAGCTGCTTCGTTTCACTAAACAAACCTTAAAATGGAATAACTGGAAGATTTTTTTTGGGGTGCCTGAAGGTGTTACTTCCTACTGCCTGTGACAGGTGCTCGGGCTGGGCGGTGTGGCCGAGTGTGACCCCTCTCTCTCTCTCTCTCTCCCGGCAGTGGTGGACCTCCTGTACTGGCGCGATATCAAGAGGACGGGGGTGGTGTTTGGTGCCAGCCTGTTCCTGCTGCTCTCCTTGACAGTGTGCAGCATCGTCAGCGTGTGCTCCTACCTGGCCCTGGCCTTGCTGTCCGTCACCGTCACCTTCAGGATATACAAGGGCGTCTTGCAGGCCGTGCAGAAGTCCGATGAGGGCCACCCTTTCAAGTGAGTGCTCTGAGGCTGGAGGGGGGGGTGGGCTGGTGCACACAGGTGCAGATGCAGCCAGATGGCAGCATCTTCATCCCTGTGGTAAGTAGGGCTCTAACCCTTCCTTCAGACAGAAGGCTGGTCAGCACAGCGGCTTCTTGTTTTTGAAGCGTGGTCATCCTGAAGGCTGGGATGCAGTTAAGTGGGTCCTCTCTCCGCAGGGCTTACCTGGAGTCGGACGTGGCTTTGTCCGAGGAGCTGGTTCACAAATACAGCGATGTGGCCCTGTCTCACCTCAACTGCGGTTTGAAGGAGCTGCGCCGCCTGTTCCTGGTGGAAGACCTGGTGGACTCTCTGAAGGTGAGGAGCCCGTGTGTCCGTGTGGACAGGGACTTGGAGTTGGGAAGGGGACCCAAGTAGGATTCCCTGTGTGACTCCAGGCCATTCGGAACAAGGCAGTTCGCTAACCCAGCGTCCTAGTGCCCCTGCCTTTCAGTCCATTTGCTTTGTCCAGATACAATTATCTGATAAAATTACCTAATCCGTTTGTGTTTCAAAAAATCAATGATGCCCTCTGCCTTCAAAAGAGAACCATCAGAAGCTCTGTACTCAATTGGTCCTTCACAGTCCTGTACACAGTACTCCCAATTTCATATCCTTGGGATTCTCACTTTACTTGAAAATGTCTTTGTCATGGGAATGTGGCACCACCTTTTATGCCGTGTTCACGAGAGACTCTTCCAGGTTGAGTAGGAGTGTGTGAGCAGCCGGAGCTGATGCGTGACCCAGGTCATGTTGCCCAGCTGTGGTCAGTTACATGCGTGGCAGAGCGGCGCTGGGGCCAGTCCGGGTCGGTGCCTCCTTCCCAGTGGGCTGTGTGAGTCGGTAGAGTGGGGCTGTGGAGAAATAGGCGACTTACTTCAAAGAAGTCATCAGGGCTGTCAGCATGCCGGGGGTGATGGCTTCTTTGTAGATGCGATTAACAGTGTGAAACTGGAGTCTTTGCTGTCTTGACCCAGTGTGGTTATGGATCACGTGCACAGACTGTGCTGCAGTGGTTATAGTGTGAGAGTCCGGCAGAGATGATCTGCTTGAAAGGGATGGGATAGTTGTACAATTAAAAGACCTCGCAGGGGCATTGATTTACTGGAGGTGGCCAATATCTTTAAAAGTTTTTGCTTGATTTTTTTTTTTCCTGGCTCGGCTTGAAGTATGCAGCTGAGGGATGGAGTTAGTGGGTCAGGGCTCTCTCTAGTCCTGTCAGCACGGTGACCCGTGTGGTCTCCCAGGCTCGTGCACGTTAGTCAGCACTTCTTCGCTCCCCCTGTGTGTGTGTCAGGGTTCAGAGCCATGAGCCCTGTTATGGAAAATCGCATGATTAATTCTAGATTAGGTGGATATATTAAACTGGTAGTTAAAAATATGAGAACAAAGCATTTTCCATGTTGAATGATCCAGGAAAGTGTTTATGAAAAGTGCTTGCTTGCTTTCCTCAGCTGTAAGCTAGGTGATGATTCTGTCATGGTTTGAGATGCAGCTGCTGTACTGTAAGATGTTTTAATTGCAGCGTGGGCATGGTGAAATCCAACAGTTTCACTGTCTTCCTGTCTGGAAATAACGGTTGTGATGGGTGAAATTTGCAGCCTTGAGCTGGGGTTAATTTTTAAAGGGAGCCTTTGTATGACCACCATAGTTGACCAGATTGATGGTTTTCTTATGCTCAAAACTCAATCGATTGTTTGAAAGGTGCACAGTTCTGTTTTGGTTTCTAAATTGGGTTTAGATTTAGAGTGCCACAACATGGGAAGAAATGGAGCCGAGTGCACTAAAAAACTCACTTCTGTATCTCGCTGCTTACTGTTTTATAAGTACATACTAACTGACCCCATGTTAGTCTGTAGGTGTTATTTCATTGATGAACTCAATCAACACCCCCACATGGTGATTTGGTAACTCTGCACACAGTGGTAATCAGTTCTGCTTAGGGAATAAGAGCTAAAACAGTTCAGTTAAGGACTAGTTACACCACTGTTAATGACCGTGGAGGCAAGTGAGGTTGATGGGATTTAGAGGTAGAGAAGCCCAGCACGAGCTGCTTCCCTGGCTGTGTGAATGCAGCCCCTGTGTGTGGACAGCGAGGGGTCTCCATGGAGCAGGGCTGCGAGGGGCTCATGCGGAAGGCAAATCTTCATGCAGGAATATTTGCTGCACACAATGGGGGCATTGTGGAGCCGAATTCTAGTGTTAAATGCAGCTGAAGGAGTTCAGTGTGGAAGTCCCAAGAGACAGCCCAGTGCTTTGGTGATTCCTCTGCACCCATGAAACTTGCACGCATGAGGATTTTTTTCTGGTCTGTGGGCTCTTTTTTTTTTTTAGGGGTGGTGTGCATCCCCATTCACCCATACTCTGCTGCAAGGCTGGGCTGCCCAATCAACAGCCTATACTGATGCAGAGAACACTGGGGATCGACATCTTTATCTGGTGCTGGGCCATTTGAGAACGTATTTAATATGGATCAGCGCTCTTGGGATCAGTGAGGGGACGATCTGTCACTGTGGAATCTGTTATACATTTTAAAAACTAGCTACGGTATTTGTGATTGTGCAAAGCAAGCCGCTTATTTTTATGCCACCTCACGCGGTTCATCAAGATGTCCTAGTCTAAGCAGGGTGCAGCAGGTGAAAGTTACATCAGGAGCTCTTAGTTCTGTTGCAAATGGCTGGAGAGTGGGACAGCAAGGCACTGTTATAGGGGAAGAGTGAATACAGTAGGTCCCTTCTTAAAATAATGCTTTATATAGCAGTGTGCAGTTTCCATGAAACGTGTGACCATAATGTCCCGCCTTGGCCAAGATCCAGTGCTCCTTGCTGCGGCTGTTTTTAGGGGGCAGTTCGGAGTGGGGCTGTAGACGAGAGCTAGCGAATGAGGAGGCACCTGTAGCATTGACTGGAAAAGCATCTTGTTAAACAACTGCCGAGAATGAGAGGACCCAGGTTTGAGTTCACATCTCAGGTCGTCCCTGGAGCTGGAGTAATAAACTGAGTTTCTTGAGCCCTTGACTATATATTCTGGCAGTCTTCCTGGGATTGGAGAATTTGGATTAAAGTGATCTAACACTTCTCTCTAAGCAAGCTCATCACATTTCTTGCGCTATAACAATAGGAAAGCAAGACAACAGCTGGAAGTCATGAGGTGCTGGAGAAGCCGGGCGCTTTATCAGGTTTCTGTGAGCAGAATTGCATTTGAGCAAGGGTTTCATGCGGTGAGGAAGAGCAGCACTCAGTATTAAAACTGTACATGGGCGACTTCTGCGTAAAACCAGTACATAGCCCTTTTGTCCGAATCAAAAATGAATTGAAATCAAATAGTCTTGACTCAATTGCAGTGGTGTTTGTTTTAAGCATTCAAGATCATTTTAATTGTTAGTGCTTCAGGATAACAGCTCCATTTCTTATGCGGGGAATTGACAGGGATGTACGACTGGAGAGCTCACCATTTGGTAATTCATAAACTAGATTTCTGAAGGTGGTTTGAAATGTTGTGAAAGAACTTCTTGTCTTTGAAAGTCACTGTATAATCTTGGTATGTCAAGCAAAGTGCCTCACAAGAGCTCTAGATCATGTGCCAGCACATGCCTGGCACCATGCCCTGCTCTTCACCATACCTCTGCCCCCCAGTGACTACACAGCCACCTGCAGCCCAGTGCCCTCAGACTTCAGGCCTCAGCCATAAGCGGCATTGCGACAATTTGTCACAGGAGAAGGGGGCATTTCAGAAGAAGCTGGTGACCTTGGCGAGGGTCTGGGATTCTGCCAGGTGCCTTGTACCTAGTAGAATAATTCAGATAGCAGGCTTGTTAATAAGTTAAAGGCTGGAATGAGGGTGGCCCTTTTCAGGTACTTACTCACCAGATAGTGAGCACAGTGCTTGCTGTAGGGTGGTCCGAGGGCTGGGTTTAGAAGACAGTCTTGGTGATGGCTGGAGCTGTCCCTGTGAGACTGAGAATGTCCGATCTAATGCAGTTGTATCTCTCATGGCGAGAGAGATACTCCGTGTTTGTGAGAGGTCCCAGTCTGTCGCTTCTGCTTTCTGACTTTTTGTTGCCTCAACACTCCAGCTTAGAACCCTGTGGAAATGGCAATTGTAATTCTTTCCTTTGTTATAGCAAACTTTATTTCTGAGTGAGTTCAAAATAGGGGAAGGCTGAGTTAACTGTTCAACATTAATTCTCTAAATGATCTTTTCCATAGTTTAAATTTTAGAGGCACTGTTGGTAGTCAGCATTACAGAACAGGAACACAACTGAGGAGTTTGTAATCTGGCCATCGTCTCATTTTTAACCCTGCTGAAAGGTGCAGGTTTTTCTGGTCTAAACCTTATGAGTTCTCTTTACCTTTTTATACCTGAAGTAATGCATCTCTAGTATGGAATGTATTAAGGAGAAATTGTGAAGCTGATGTTAAATTGAAGCAATGTGATTTGTTAGTAAAAATACAGCAATGAAAAATGGCTGAGGTCAAAGAAACTGACACCTTCTCCCTGTTTATCTTGGTTACATCAGGTTTAAATGGAGAGATTTTTGCTGCTTTTGGAAGATGTTCCTCAGGGTACATCTCCTTTCAATACTAGTGCCATGTTCTCGCAGTGAGCTGTGTGTAGGGTATGGATGATTAATGGAACATTAACAGCTTGTTTTTTTTCCTGTCCTCACAGTTTGCAGTGTTGATGTGGATCCTTACCTATGTTGGTGCCTTGTTTAATGGTCTGACTCTCCTAATTCTGGGTAAGCTTCTCACACATCTTTTGAAGAATCTCTTTAAACTTTAAAGCTAGTGTACACCACAAAGCCAGTTCACTGCAACCTTTGGAAGTTCTATGTTTTTCAAAAATAGAAATTAACAAATTTTGATTGTGCTTAGGTCCTTAAAATTTGTAGAATAGAGTTTTATGGACAGTTGTTGCCTTAATGTGCAATGTGAATATTAGATTAAGTAGATATCCTTTGGTATGATTTGGCCTTTGTCACTGTAGTGCAGGACAGGCTTTTCAAAGTGTTCAAAATGGAAGTGGGGCAGTAATTATGATATGTGTTCAGAAAATAGTCAATTAGGACAGTCAATATGCTCCCAGTCTAGAAGCATGCAGAGTGCAGTTGCCCAGATCTGCACATTTGCAGATGTAGCAGTACTAAGCATTACATGTTGGAATTTGGATAACGGTGGCAGTAGGGTTTTAAAGCGTGTTGAAAAGGCCATCTAATTATTTGTAATGAAACAGTCAGAAATGCTTCTCTCTTTGGACAGAGTTAACATTAACATTTAACTGTACATGAAGTAAATTGTGATTTTTTTAAAAATCATTCCACAAGTGAGGTTGCTCGTGTCTTGCTGTTGAATTTGAGTATTTTCTTCCTCTCTCCAGCTCTGATTTCAGTGTTCAGCATCCCAGTTATTTATGAAAGACACCAGGTATGTACTTTGTAACTTTTTGGATGGGGAAAAAAAAACACTTATTTAAAAAGTGCAGTCTACCAAACCTTGCTGGTTGTAAGCATAACAATAAATCTTCTTTTGCTAATCTTCAAATCGCAAACATTGAAGTATCCAGTTCAACTGGGATTAAGTTATTACTGTGGAAGTGTTTGTTTGCTGACAGTCTTTAGAGGTTTTTCACTTAATCGCTTTTCAAACCTGGGTTTGACTTTTGGGTTATTGATGAATGTAAAATGGCACTTACCAGCAGGTAATGTAATTTGGTTCTATTAGTGCAGAAAGAAACTTTTTTTCTCTCTCAACAGGCACAGATTGACCATTATCTAGGACTGGTAAACAACCAAGTCAAAGACATTATTGCTAAGTGAGTATAACTTAAGTGACTATTTGAGGTTTCTATTTAGTGACTAAGAGGATCTTGAAGTGGTTTTACACTTAATTTGCTAAATTTAACCACAGTAATTTTACATGGTGCAGTTTCTTTTAGAATCCAGGTCCTTTCATACCTTGAATGACTGAGTTTACCTTTCTTAAAGCAATTCTAATTTCCTATGTAATTGGTAAGGTGGGGGTCTGTATGACAAATTGACTATAAATTATATCCTGTTACAACTGGAGCACTCTGGAGTTTATCAGGTGTTCAGCCATAATCCTGCTTTTCCTTTCTGAGCTGTTGAAAATTTTCATTGTCAACATCCTGGGTTATCTGTGTGAAAAGACCCCCCGATGTAAACCATTACAGTATCTCCCCCATCCCGTGGGTAAGTTCTGGTGCAGGGGGAAGGGGATTTGGGGATTTCAGGACTCTCATCAGGCAGCTCGTGGCCGTGCTCCTGAGGGCGGGACCTGTTGCGTGTGGGGTGTGAAAGCACGTGTCCAGCAGAGGGGTGTGGTGCGTCTTTAACCCACAGGCTTGGATTTGTCTTCCCAGGATCCAGGCGAAAGTGCCGGGGCTGAAGCGCAAGGCGGAGTGAGGCTCTGCAGCTGGGCGGCACCGCTGAGGGGAGGGGGGGGGTGGATCAGTACCCTTGACATTGCAGTGTAGTTTCACACATCTATTTCCAGTTTAGCAGTCCTCTAGTGTTGTGGAAAACTTAACTCTTGTTAACCTGTTGTTGGTTTTCACCAGCTCTTTAAGTATTATATGCCACTGCATTGTATGGAACTAGGTCTAATTTTTATTTATCTTGTTTAAAACACTGGTTTGTATTTAAGAAAAAGCAAAAACGTAATTTGGAGAAAATGAACAAGATGCTCTGTCGGGGATAGTCTTATGTTAATAGAAATCATGGTGCAGGTTCAGTTTGGTTGGGTTATTTTTTTTCCATGTTTTACCCACTTTGTATGGTCTGCATTCAAGGTTGGTGGTCTTTTTTTTTTTTTAAGGAAAAAAGTGAGTGGTACCATCGTGGCAAGAAATGAGTACTGAGATTTGGTATGATGAAATGTAGTGGTATTGTGATTTTACCGTTTTATTGATTGGCGATGTAGTGTTTCACAAAAGCTTAAGCTTTATTCAGCAGCTCCACAGTGCTTGATATTTCAGACTGTGACTGTTCTGAGAACTGTTCCATAGCACATATTGCTTCAGAGTATTTCTAGAACATAGTACTTTTTGCAAAAACATCTTGACATTTCACCTCATTGCAGCTGCCTAGTTGTCTGAAAGAACACGTTTACAAATCAACACTTTAAACCCTGCTATCTCCGTCTGTGGACCGAATATCTAATGCTGCAAAATATGTACCCTGGAAATTTCAAGCATTGTTTGTTATGCAAGTAATTTGTGAATGAAACTTCATACAATTGTGATGAATTCTGCTGAGAACTGTCTGTGGAATGCATTGTGAAATGTAAACAAGTACCAATAAAGCTTATAGACAAAGATCTGTCTTTTCAGCCTTTCTGTCTTCTGCTGAATGTGGTTAAGGCTTGGTGTGGGTACTGTAGTTAAGGTGAAGTTTGAACAGCTAATTTATTGGGTGCAACTGATTCCAAGTACATTATTCAATGGAGTCTTTTTTTTTTTCGTGCAGGAAGATTTTGAAATCCAACACGGTAGCAAATTAAAGTGATTGCCCTCATTTCCCTGTTAACATTGTATGGTTAAGGAAAACCAAAGGTAACTAAACATCTCATCTTGCCTTGTAAAAATCAAGTTTGTCAAATCTGGCCATAGCTTTATTTTTACCTCTGCCCAATTTAATAAATGTAAAAAGTCAGTTTAAGTTCATGCATTTTAATTTAGGGGTTATAAATTCTATATACACATTTGTAGTGTTAATCATCAGTAGGGATGAGTTACTAACATTGACAATGTGTAAGCAAGCTAGTAACACTAAATTGCCTATTTATGCATATTCAGTGTGCCTATGCCTCATTTCATTAGGAGAAAAAAACATGGTGTCAGACTGACTTAAGATTTTAGAGGGGAATGCCACAACCTGAATGCTGTCTACACTGGGCTATTATGTGTGCTGTCTGGGAGATGACCATTCATTTACTGTAATGGGACAGAGCAGTGCTGTCCTAAGATGTTCATTTACAATATTTAAAGGAAGACAAAATATCCTTGATAAATATTTTAAGAATGAGGATTATTAAGATACTTTTAACTGCATATTGTTTATTTTCTTGTACACAATCTTTATAGTCTTTCCAGATAGTTGAACATTTTAACAGACAACATTTCACACATTCATTACAAATACATATTTTTTTCCCCTGTAAAAAAAACACCACAAAACTGATTGTCATTCATACAGTAAAATTCACTTCATTCACCAGAACTTAACTGCATCAGCTGTGATTTGGATTTCTTGAAAAATAAATTCATGCATTAAGCAATTCTTTTCTAATTTACATTATAGTACAAACAGTTCTTTAACAAATTGTCTAGACAATTCTATACAAAAATTAAATATAAAATTTATAAACCGTGAACAAATTCATTACAGACAATATTGACACTATTGCTCACAAGGATAGCTAGCAGGTACGGTCAGATCATTGAAAGACGTTGCAGGACATAACAGACACTGGCTGATTATCAAACAAGACAAAAATGAAGACCAACTACTCGGGAGTACAGACTGCATAGTCAGCTTTGGTGTGCCATTGTTCCCCCAGATTCAAAACATACAGCTCATGCAACAGCAGGCTGCAACAGCAGGCATCCTGTTCTGTCAACCTTGCTGTGAGTACCTTACAGGAGGATGTTGGGGCAGCTAGAGTATGCCTTATTTTCACATGAGGAATCAATTCCGGTACTAGCTCTCTCGAGGAGAAACCCTCATCATCGAACCAGCTCTCAGAATGAGTTGGCAAGCTATTTTGATCATTTAAAAAAAATGTTTTTAAAAAAACTGCTTGGTTTTGAGCTGTTGGATTTAGACTGACTCCTGAGCTGTACTCTGGCATTTATTTGGATAATTCAGCCAAAGATTCAGCCATCCATGGAATGGTTTTTATGTACAAAACAAAAAAACCCCATTGTATTAAATTAATAAAACTAACACTATTGATAGCCCTCCATTTACAATCTATAGCACCAGAAGTGTACAAAACAACTTTAACTATGTAACTGTGAAAGAACTCAGATAGGTAATACAAAAATCTCAAAAGGCACTTAATGCATGTCTGTTTACAGAAAAGAAAGGCTTTTTAAAAAAAATATTGGTTGGCTAGAAAGGTTTATTTGAAGTCTGCAATGCCTGGGCAAAACTGTAAAAAAATTGGCATGATAACTATTTTCTGCCTCCTCCACTGCAGAAAGCAGATGAAAATGTAAACACAAACGGTAATTTTTTTAAAGATCTGTAAAACAGCATTTACTGTGGCAAGATGACTTCTGTACTGTATAGTGAGATACCAGCTGTCAAGACCAGCAGGAATATTTATTTCCCACTAGTATATCAGCATAGCCTGCTCGAAAGCCTATCAAGGTACTAGGTGATATTTGCAAAGGTTATTACAGTGTGTTCCCCACACCCCTCCCCTTCAGTATCCATGATCGGTGTTTAACAGCAGTTCTGTGCCACAGTTGGCCAAACTGTTTAAATGCAGCATTTCAGTAACAGGTTTGTAGCAGCCAGACACTTGAGGCATTGGAATCCCTCCAGCTTCACACCACATGAGATCACCTGCAGCTCTTCAGATGGGTCCTTTTTTACTGGCATTTCCACACAAACACACTGGGAGGTTATAAAGAAGTGAAAAGGCATCAGTTCACCTTTCCATTATGAATATATTCAGCTTACACATCAAAAGGCTAAAACTGGTTATAGGTTCTGCTGTAACTGTGCCTATTAAATCATAGTCAACTTTTATCATCATGCAAAGATGAATCTATCTACAAAGGCAAAATATTCAGTTTGATCATGTTTAATAAAAAAGCTTTCTAGGCTTCTTGCATTACCAAAAAAACTTTTATATTAGACAATTAGACATCTTGGTTAAGGCAGCAATAATTTGATGTGTGAATAAAAACACTGCTGTTACCACTTCTGTGTTCAAACTGACATTCAGACTTATTCAGACAGACATCCCGATGTCTGGAAATGTGTCACATCTGTGAAACTCTTTCTGAAGAGGTTTTCACCTTTTTCTATTAGTGGACTATGTGAATTATATAATGGGGAAAGAGGTACAGACTAGTAACCTTCTTGTCAGAGCAACATAAGCTGTTATCTCCCTTCCTCAAAACATGGCAGCTAATGTACAAACATGAGCTGAAATTTACAATTTCAAAGCTGAAGCTACATAATGGAAAGAGTCTGTCTTAATGGTCTGTCTTGGTAAAAGCTAAAACACAAGAGATTTTAATTTAAGGCAAAGCTCCTGCTGTAACCTACTAAACAGTAGGGAATAAAACGTTTCCTTTCTCATCCAAGAAAAATGACCTGTTGACCTGATGAAGAATTATCGAACTGCATGTGAAACAAAATGGTCACATAAATGAAGCATTTACCTGCAGTCATCTCCTCCTGTGCTTATTACGTATTTGTCATCGTAGGAGAAGCGGATGTTGGTCACATGAGCCGAGTGGCCAAAGTAACGCTTGTGTTTGGCCTGTGGAAAAGCCAGAGAGCTGGATGAAGCTGTTAATCATGTCACCACTGGCTGGGGCCACAAAGAGTAAAACTAACCCTGGATTTTACAGAATAAAACATCAATGACATACAGTATGGTGGTCTAGGGTAGAATAACAATTTGATATTTATTCTCATCACAATTTTAGACTTTTACATCAGTTTACAGTTATGGAAAACTGTAATAATAGAAGTCTGATATAAAATGCTCTAAGTTGTCCAGTCAACCTCTATACCATGTACTTGCAGAGCTAGAGAGTACAGTCAAAACCCCAGCTTTGGGGTTTGCACAACATTTTGAGGCTAAGCAAATGATTTCAGTCCGATTAAAAGAAACTCACAAACTTTTCGGTGCATGGGAAATCAAAGAGCTTCACCAGCCCAAAGTCATCCCCCGTCACCACGTTGAGCCCAGCGTGAGAGACACAGGCGCAGTTCACATCCGCCTTGTCTGCGTTCCGGGGCCAGATTCCCAGCACTTCATCTCCCAGGATGCTGCGGGGAACAACCAAGGACACCTCATTCAGCTGCCAGCAGCTTGGTGAGCTGAAATGTAAAACCTGCAACCTTAATGGGATTTATAAATCTAGTGAACCAGTGTGAAGACTGGAGTTTAGTAATTAGCTGTAGGCTTGGCCTGAGGTACTGGAGGCAGATCTGAGCACACCAGTGGCAGGACAGGAGAAAGGAAACACGAACAAGGGAGGAGGCAGATGAGCTCATGCCTAGCTGAGTTGTGCGACGCACAACGGATGATATTTATCCTGTGGTCCAGCTTCAGCACTGCGGAGACAAAAGCCTGCCAAGGCACAGCTGGTATTGATTGCCCTAGATCCTCATTTCCTGGAGCAAATGATTTCTGATTAAGAACAGGATATTGCTGCACAGCTCAGCTAGGACACACTAGCGACTATTTTCATCAAAACCAGATAGAATTTGCGTTTAAAACCCTTTTCAGGATTAGTAAATCATTGTTAAACCTTTTTGGCCTCTGCAGCTCCGCGCCCAACTAAGGTGATGATGAGTTGTCATTGTTTTCCACACACGGTCCCAGAACGGTGGAGTTCACGCACCAGTTGCAGGACTGATAGTTCTTGAAACAGAGGGTATCTTTACAGGTGTGCAGCAGACTAACAGTCTCTCTGAGAAATAGCAGCCCCCCCCATCCTCAGCAAAGAGTTTTATGTGCAGCCAGAGATCTCCAGGTAGCAGAGGAATTCAGCAGATCTGCTGGGAGGGTGGCCGGACTGGCCTGGCCCGGCCCTGCCCCTCACTCACCTGGTCCAGCTGGCCCATGTGATCCTGTCCAGGACAGACTGCTCCGTCACGGTCTTCCCTGTGGGCACCTCGTGGACCTGCCGCTTGTAGGCCCCGGTGGACACCTGAGCAAAACCAACAAGCAACCGATCAGGTTGGTCATCTCTTTCTGGCCCTCAGACTCTTCTTTAGACACTCATGACGGAATCAGTCACGCACAACTTGAACAAAAAGACAATTCGCCCAGCAGCAAATAAAGCAAGAGGAAACCACAACTGAAAGGTATATTTCGGTCTATCTCCAAGGTAATGCCCTGGTATGGTGTCACTCCAGAGACTCAATGCTTTTTATAACACAGCCCAGTGTCACACAACACATTTCCAACTGCAGTGATCGGAGTTTAAATATGGCCCAGTTTAATTATACTTCACACTGCATATGGGTCTTGGTTTCCAAAATGGAAACACATTTATTGTGCACAGGGTTGCACAACACGGACATCTGTACATTTAAATAGAAGTTTCAATATCAAATAGCTTACACATAGGGGTCAGCAGCAGATGTGCTGGTACAGTTCTAGCCGGGCTGTACAGACCCTATCTCATCAGTGACCCAACGAAAATGAATTTGTCTATATATAACCTCTGTTGTGTTAGGGACATTTTATCATCCATGAGCACTCCAGTAACTCTACAGGTAAAAGGCTTGTCGTGTGGTGCACTGCGCTGTGGAGGGATATCAGAACAAGCTGGTTGAGACTTCAGCACCTACTGTAGGTGGAGAAAGCCATGTAAAGCCCATAGAGGAATAGCAGGAAACAAGCTGATAAACAGCCAGAGCAGTTCGTTATTTTTTGCATGCTAATTAATTATTGAAAACTACACCTTTGGAAAAGACTTTGGAGAAAAACGTGATGTGAACCAGGATTGGCTGGAATTGCTCATAAAGAGGTATCAGAGGATCTAAATGACAATTTGAAAATGCAATTGTGAGAGCAACAAATTGCTGTCATTTTTTTCTTGGGTTTTAACTGCATTTTAAGTTTAAATCCAATTTAACTTGAGTCTACCCTATCTGTACAGTACATATCTCTATACTTAGAGTGACAGGAATGTAAACTGGTTGTAGAGAATCTATGTAGCTCTTGGAGTAACAGATAAGGAAAAATGACTAGAAATCTTTGCAAATCGGTTTTCATTCTAAAGGCATGTGGGAATTAAAGAGGAACTGCAAGCTATTTTTAGAAAGAATCGGCACTGATGAGTGCATTTCAAACCACAATAAAAGTAAAATGTACACAGTAAAACCTCTATTTTGATTCACAAAATAGACTACATTTCCAGGTACAGTATGTGCAGTGCAATTCAGAATGAGGCAAGAAAACCAGTTGATAAATACCCAGTAAAATGGGGCTGGAATGGGATTCTGAGTCAGTTTCAGAATGTCAGGGCCCTCCTTGCAATACTGCATTGAATATGGAGGGCAGGAACAATGACCAAGGTGTGTGTGAAAAATACATATTGATAAACCTTAAATAGTGACTTGAGCTTCCCAGAACAGAGGTGAACATATTGCAGCAAGAAACTAGGTTTAACTAGGTTTAGAAGGTTTAATATTCTCTTAATGGTAAACATTCTTAAAGCAAATAATGTGCCTCAATAACTTACTGCATTGTGTTTATTTAGTCTGACAAAAAAAAAAATGACTTGAAAAACTACATAAAAAATGTACTAGCCTCAATGTACTTGCTATCAGCAGAAAAATCCATCTGGATCACAAAGCTGGGAATGTCTTTGCAGTATCCTATCCGGTTGAGAGAGGGGCCGAGGGTCAGGTCATAAAAATCCACGGTGCTCTCCAAGGATCCCACAGCCAGGAACCTGTTGTCAGGACTGAATCTGCAGGGCACAGAGATGGTGGGAGAGGTTTATTCTCACAGGCCTGTGGGCCGTCTACACATGCATGCAATACAGATTCAGAATACCGCTGGTCATCTTGAAGGGCTTGGACTGCCGACCCCTGCACAGCTGCTTGCCCTCTGCATTCTGCCCGTCTTTCACATCCCAGTACATAGCTTTATATTCTCAGAGACCCTGGAGGGCTGAGTGGTTTCTGTTCTGCGACTCCAAGAATGCGCAACGATGTCTCAGCTCATATCAGATCCTGCAAGCCAGGCAGCTCTTTCAAATTCTGTCTTACAACTCACTTTTACAAGCCAGCTTTCAACACTGTTTGATTTACGGTCAATTGTTGGATACCCTTCTCCGTTATTTGCTTGTTTTATCATAAAGTACCTTAAGATGCTGTACCAGGAAAGATGCTCTGTATAATGAAGTTCTGTGACAATTATGACACAGTTCTACAAAAGGCTGCTGCTTTCAATATCTGATATGCATATCCTAAATACGTTCTGTTAATGACAATAATTTTGCGTTTGCAAATAATGATTTAAATACAAATAGATGCATCCATTTATCTATTATACTTCCTACACTAACAGCAAGTTGATTTTGCTCTCTCATTCAGAAATATGCTTGGATACATATGAAAGCATGTTCCCTTTAGGACAATTACTGTGCTGTAGAATAGCACACAGTCCATACTTGAGCTATCAGGCCAGAGCTCATCCTGGTTTCAACAGCATACAGTGGACTAGAGAGCTTTCTTGGTGTAACTCGCCTGCCTTAGATAACAAGTCGGCCATGAGGACAAGGCTACTGGAACCCCGAAGGAAGCAAGTGGGAGCCCAACAGCACTGATGCAGAGTTCTCCAGTTACTTAGTTTAAAGCAGGATATGAATGAGGACAGTCTTAGTAAATCAAACAAACTAAAGAGGATGTGGAATCCTTAGCATTATTTCCAAGCCAACCAGCGTGACTAGACAGTTGGGGGTGTGATGCGTTGAGGAGTACTATTCCACTGAGGGGCATGAATGTAGCTTGTTCACGGGGCGTTGGCATCAGTGCCGCATCACTTCCAGAATTCAGCTCCATTTACTACCCTCCCAGAAAAGCGACGATACAGATCGCAAAAAGTTGTGGTGTTTGGACAGGGAATCCAATCACCACGCCATGCAGGATGACAGAAGAGCAGGTAGGGCAGTGAGTGTCTTCTGGGAGAGTTGTGGGAATGTGAGACAGAGTCATGATGTCTACATGTGGGCAGGCAGCAGCATGGGTGAGATTAGGGTCGGACCTCCTCCTGGATGAGATTAGGGTGTGACTTTCCTTTCAAACTGCCAAGTCGACCCCCCCAACTCGAACTACCACCACCAATCCTAAGAATCCTCTCTGAAGAATAAGAAGAACTTGCTTTACGGTGCCTACAGAACTACCCAAGGCTCGTTGGCTTGGTAATCAGCACTCTAATCCAGCTGCTGCTCCGCCCTGACCCCCGGATCTGATGGAGGCTCACCGGATGTCCTGGATGGCAGCGCTGCGGTCTCTCTTCTTGCCCCAGACCTTCAGGGAGTTGACCAAGAGGATGACGAACTCCCCGTTTTTCATGCCGATGGCCACCATCTCCCCATCAGGGCTGTACCCAGCGCACTTGGCCGCATGGCCCAGGCTCACCTTGTTCAGCAGTTTCTGGAGGAACGGACAGACCCCTTAGACAGCAGAGCCACTGACTTCAGCACAGTGAAACAGGAAGTAAGGTGTTTCGATCAGGGCTGGATTTTGGTGTTCGCAGGGCCTAGGTACTTTCAGTCCGAAATGTGCAAGAAGAGGGGTAAACGGCAATTGAATTATGTTGCTCGACTGGCATTAGAATAGTTTAAAGTGCATCATGTCAATCGACCATTACTTCGATACTTCTAGTTTCTAGAACAGTTGCTAGAGAGCCTATGATTTTTGATTTGGAGCACCTAGAGGCAATTGCAAGCATGTTGTTTCAGCTTGTTTTTTGTAAATCAGTAGTGTTTCCCTCCTCCGTAGGCCCTAAACATTTCGTAGGCCCTATGAACTACAGTGTGTCTATCCTATTCAAATACAACAGAGCATCTTCATTGCAGTGCTGCATTTTCTAGCACCCGAGTTAAATACTTGTATATTGACTTTCGACATCAGACAAAACTGATTACACTGTTAACACTTTCCTGTTCAGGAAAGACAGATAATTAACAGAGCATTATCTACCTTTTAGTTTGAAACTTATCCAAGCATAAAGACTTCTAATATGAAAAAATATAGCCCCAATCTTCAGCAGAGTTTTTATATGGGATCTTTTAAAAAAAAACTAATCAACTCCCTCTTCAAAGATAAGACACATTAAAAGCTATTGCTAAAATTTTACAGAAGATAATGTAATAGTCAAAATTACTTCTATAAGTGGAGGGGGTCTTAAGTATTTCTTACCAGGAACTGGATTAAGAAGCTATTGCCTGAAGCTTTTTTGCCCCAAGTTATTTTACCACAGTCATAAAATTGTCTGTGAGTCAGAGTAATAACTCTGCAAGAGCTATAAGTTTACTATAATAAGTTTATAAATTTAATAATGCATCTAAAAATGATAAAGGATAAAACAGCTATTCAAACACATGCCCAGTCATTAATAGCATGTGTAAAATGAAGCCCTGGGAGACATGGAACACCACTGTGTCGCTCCTGGGGACATGAATTCGACCCCAGTGTTGATTTTGGCTGCGCAGAGTGTCTGGCTGCTCTCAGGAACCAGCTGCTATTATGTTTCAAGCTGACAGCAGGCCTGTCCTCCAACAAGAGGTTTTTCATGCCCAGAACGTGGTTACTTAGAGTAAGTCTTTTTATCGATGATCTTTGCTTACACTTAGTTATGTTCATATAGCAGTGCTGACTCAAAAAATCTAAATACATTCTATTTAGAACAGATCTACTGAATTATTAACTATACATACAGTATACAGTCTAGAAAATGTTAGGTTAAAACTTACATCAAAGGAAGAATTATACTATGTTCAGAAAAAGTCATTGCAATTTAAAAGTTACACTCTACAAAAAAAGCTAGTGCTGTTCTGGATTTGGTCCAAAGACAAGTGACCAGACACATTCCCAAGCTCATAAGAATGTCTTATAGTCTTGAATAGAGAAGACTCATGGAATTTGACTTAAGCACTGTGAAGTATTGATGACGTTGGCTAAAGAAAGTATACTTATTCAGGATCAATAGTGAAATTTCATCTGCAGTATCTCACCCAAACCCAAACCTTTCAGTTATGAGTTGAAATGTTGACCATTGCTCCGCACAATAATACTAAACTCAGATCCACTGTAACACCCTCACCGATGTTTCTAGTCATGTATTGTTTTTACTGCTTACACTTGGAGGAAGTACCCACTTTATCAGCTAAGTCCCAGATGCGTATGGTCCCATCATCACTGGCTGAGATGAACATGTCTTTGGAGGGGTGAGTGGCCAGGCCCCAGATCTCTCCTTCCATGTGACCATTGATCAGGATGTTGGAGGCGGCATTCTTCTCTCCGACCTCAATGATCTCACCATCTTTAGTTCCCACTAAGATTTTACCCTGATTCGAGGGGGAAAGGCGATTACAGGCACATCCCAGCTCCGTTCTCTCATGCTCACATTAATTACCAACACTGAAGCACAAATGACAGAAACTATCTTAAACCTTTGCACAAAACCTTCCTTTGACCAAGGAGTATGATTTTTACATTCCTGCGAGATTAAAGAATACTCAGATCTTCTTTTACCCTTCTAAAAACAGATTTGTGCCTGCACAAGTTCAACACGACCACCAAAGCGTTGCGAAAACAGTGGCCACACGTGCTTGAGGAGCCCTTGTGGATGCTCAGAGTACAGGAGCAGTTTTTCTTTCAGCTCTTTCCCCTGACGGCTCTGCAGCTGCGGCGCTGCTGTCTCTCACCTTTCCCCTGCACACGGAGCGCACGCACTCCAGCAGCTGCCCCGTCTCCAGCTGGAACGCCCGGCACCTCTTCATCTCCTGGTCCCACAGCTTGACAGCCCCGCCCTCCTTCGTCCTGCAACACACGCCTCTGACATCACCACGGCCACCCCCGGCACAGCAGAGCCACGCTATCGGCACAGAGGGCTCTTGCTGTTCAGGATGGAGGATGGCAGCTGTTCACTACACCAGGAATATCCACACCTTAAACTACTGTCTACCTAAATTACTCAGAGGAAAACCCACAGCAGCTTTTTTTAACAAATAAACTTAAATAATTCACCGATTTTAAAGATTCAAAGAAATACAGAGAAGAAGTGCTAAAATTATTTTTTTCTAGTTTTTATTGTGGTTTTCGTACCCAGCCATTACGGTTTGAGGGTAATGTTATCAAGGAAAAGAGGAATGATATTTGGTCCCGTGCACAAAAACAGCCAAGGCAGAAAACTGACCTGTCGCACACATGAAGAGATTATAAAGCCTTAGTCAAATATGATACAATTCACATTTTCTCTCACTCATAAATCGAAACTCAAAACAGAGGCCAGTTCTTGTTCAACAGAGCCACGTCGGACTGAATCCCAGCTCTGCAGGACTGAGAGGTTGTGCTAGGGGCGGCTGGTTATTTATGGGGTTTGTACCCCTCTCCTTTTGCCCGCAGGAATGTTCCGGGGGGCTCCTGTGCACTTACGGGCGCTCTTTGCCCCCGGTGACAATCAGGCCGTCCCTCAGGGTGGTGTACATGGTGAAGACGGGGCCCGTGTGTGCTTTGGCCACCAAGCGGATCAGGCAGTGGTCCCTCCACACGTACACGTCTCCGTTTATGGCACCAGTGAACGTAAGATTATTCTGCAACGAAACACAGCTCAGCCGTGAGTTCTGCTGCCCCCAGCTTCGCAGCAGAGTATCTCGCATCTGTTTCTGTTGTGGAGCAAACAAGAGCTCTGGCAAACTGAACTAGAAACTGGGCGAAACCATCATGCTCATACAAATCTCACCTACACCGTATATATAAGGAAAGGTTTGGCAAAATAAATAAAGGTTCTTCAATTTAATTTCTCAACAACTTTTTTCATTATTTTTGTTGACGCGTCAGAAAAAAAGAAAAAACTCTTTCGAAGCTCTGAAAGAGAGTTTTGCAAGGAGCGCCACCAACAACGTGGCTGTACTTACAGCACCAAAAGCCACCGACAGCATCGTCTGCATCCTGGCATCCTCGACTGAGCCGATCACCCCCTTCTTGTACATCAGCGCCCCGCCAGCCAGAGTCCAGAACTTGATGTGCTTTATTCCCACCGACACGAACTGGGTGTCCGAGTCGGGCCTGAACTCCACCACGAAGATTCTTTCAGCGTGGCCGCCTTTACTGGCCACTTTGGCACCTGGTGCAGTTAGATAAAGGACAAGATCACATGGGCACCTTAATCCTCACACACACCACTTTTTTTTCTCCGATAATTCCATAAACACACTGCACACAAAACTATTTGGCAAAAAACATCCTTTCATACAATCGGTACAAACACCGGTTGCATTATGGGGAGCTGAACACTGACACAAGTCACTGTTCAAGAAAATGTGTACTGACTGGATGTGAGGAAAGCTGTTCCAAAAGTCTTTTAACAGAATGAGGATTAAAGTCTATGCATGATGTTAGTTATTGCAAGGTAGTTTTCCTTAAAATAAACCAGCTCTGTGGAACACATTCGATTTCCTTCTATTTTTAGTTGATTAAAAGGGGGAGGGAGCTCCTTCCTTTGCCCTCGACGCAGGCGGGCGCACACGGCGCCCCGGGGGGACTCACCTTCCTGCCACCTCCAGACCGTGATGGTGTGCTCAGGCTCCACGCCCACTGACAGCAGCAGCTTGCCCGTGGCACTGAAGCTGACGTAGCCCACGCCCTTGGCATGGGAGCAGCGCAGTATGGACAGCGTCTGCTTGCTCATGGCATCCCACACGTGGATCGAAGGCGTGGTACCTATGGGGCACAAGGTGTGAAAGCTGGGGCAGACGAGGCCTGCACACACACTGCGCCCTCGGGCCTGAACATCGCAGCCAGTGTTTCAGAGACTCTCACGACCACACGGGGATACAAGGGAGGAAAATATTTTGCCCTTCCTGTTGCTTGCTTTGCCCAGCTCATGTGTGTTCAAGTCCGTCTTTATTGGCCTTATTAGGAATAAGCTTTGAAAAGCCTAAAAAGAAGTTATTCTTTACACTAGATTGTCAGACTGAGGGTGCATTTTTAAAGATTTGTGTGCCTCTTAGTGATGTGGAATGAAGTAAGTCTGCTTCAGTCCCGAGATGAAGACATGACTTTAAATTAAACACCTGCCACATCCATTCAGACTACAGAACAGATGGACAAAGCACTGTGGGAAGGTCGGATTTTGACAACAGTAACACTTGGTTAATCACACTTCTACAGCAGATGGAGATATTTAGCTAAGAGACTACAGAGCACACTGACACTGAGAGAAAGGTGAAAACAATGGAGTTTCTCTGTAAAATAAATACATTTTGTAAGGATGTGGGATATGTGATGCAGCATGAATATCTCAGCTTTAAAATACTGGTAAACTTTCAATAATTCTTCCACTGAATACCTTCAAGGTTATAACTTATAAAAAAATCTATTAAGCATGCCACCTAATATGGCAGATTTCAGCAGAGATTTTAAAACTGGCATACCAGAAACACTGATCTTACCACTTTACATTACACCCATGCTAAAGTATTAGATAAAATTAAATAAAAACTATTGACTATCTAAATCCTGATTTATAAAAAGTAGTTGCATACAAAGTAGTTTACATTTAAGGTGGGAGGTGGGTTGTGTTGTGATGCACAACAGTCTACTCTGGGTTAAGTCACTTGGTTTGATTCACTTGGAGGATTCAAGGGGCTGATTGACATCAGGGTTTTCTGCTCTTCTGCGACCTTTAAATCGATTATTTAAAGAACCTGGTCTATTGCTTACCGTTATAGGTTTTATAAAGGCCTGAGGTTACAGTCAGAAATCAAATATGTTGCGTTTTCCAGAGCTCATGTTACTAGAAATAAATGAAAGCAATACTCGCTGAAAGGCAGTGGTTCCATGTGATTTTAGACATGAACAGACGGAGTGCGTCAGTGGAGCTGTTACAGTACTGATGTGAACATTACAGCTCTGTGACGGGACTTAAACCACGCGGACAAGACTGACTGTCACAGACTACACGCACTGTAAGCTTCAGATTGTACACAGGGTAGGGGCAGCAACAGAGCAAGTAAGACTCGACTGCTCTCAGACACGCAGGACTTTTCTGGTCGAATCTCTTTCAAAAAAGGCCAGTTTTCCTTATTCACCTCCTTTTGTCTTTTTCCAGGGATAAAGATTTTCAATTGCACTTGCTACTGTAGGTGCACTTGCTACTGAATTAAACCTGCCTTGAATCGCTATGAATTTCAATGCCAAGAGGTGAGAAAAAGTTAGGGTTTAAACTAAACCAGCTGGAAAGATAAGGACGAAGAGGACAACTGAGTACCCTTTCAGGTTCTGAGATATTTGTACACATCAGTTTAACTGACATGCTGTACAAGGAGCTGACCATAAATCAGCTCTAGGACCTAATCATATGTGTTCAGAGACACAGACAGCTGTTTTATGTCCTCATCTAGTTTGCATGAACAGGAAACCTGACCACACGTGACAGAGGAAGAATAATGGCACTATCTTACCTGCAAGGTCTGCAACATCGCCTGTTGTGTGTGGGCAATGGGAAATGAGGAAGCATCAAAAGAAAACAGCTGGAATAAGTCATTTTTTTTTTCTAATGCTGAGGCACACGACATCAGCACCAGAAGAAAGCAAAAATATTCATAGCGAAAAACAAAATGGAACGGGCAAAGAGAGATGCTAACAGAACAGTGCAAAAACAACAAACTAGGATCTCAACTAAATATGAGCAAAACAAAATCATGACTTAAAAGCATTCGATAAGGAAAAATACTTTTCAAGTAATTTTGAAGACAGAGCACGACTCAAAGTTATGTCACAGGACTGGCAGGCTGACCTGTGCACATGTTACAGCAGTAAAATGTTCAATCGAGCCGTGTGTAGAAGGATTGTTCTGTCCCCTGATTGTACTGAACCGAGTGGTTTCTCACTTGATACGCGCGCAGACAACTGGGAAATGAACCAACAAAGGCACTTACCGATCTGTCCGGTGGCAATAACATTTTTATACTTAGGATGCTGATTGACAGTTAGACACAGGATGTCGTCTGTGTGCTCCAAGTAGAAGCTCTGAGTGCCTGGAGGAAAAAGCCCTGTCACACAGGCAGTATTGATCTAGCGGTCGGAGCTCTGTTGACTCCGGGTCTGAGACAACACTTCCCACAAAGTCCCTGCCGACTGCTCAGTGTAAATTCACGAGGAATGACAACGCCCCAAAATCAAAGTGTGGCGAACGATTGTGGAGTGAATATTTGGCTTAACCCGGTTTAATAAATAAATATTTGGTATTTATAGCATTCAGTGGAGGAAGGACAAAGGGAGTGATTGCTAATCGCTGACGGCTGGGGATGATTGAGTGTGGCTGTTGTCATCCCTCCTGAACTTTAGTTAAATAAACTCCATTAAAATGTATAGAAATAAAGCAAAACAACCTTATTTCTCCTTATCAGCTTAGCTGCTAAACACATTCGGTCACTTGCATGGTAATGGGAAGCAAAGCGGACTGAAGCACCTAGGGGGTTTTGAAAATAGGCCCAATTCTCTTCAGCTAGTGTGAAAAATAACCTAGCGGGATGTTCTAGTCCCTACTGTGGTCAAGGTCTTTTGTGCGACGCCAATTTTCTTCCCCCGCTCTCTTCCTGTGAACGAACGAGCCATGGAGCGCCAGCGAGCGGAAACGCTCGTGCCTGGCGGGCTGACCGGAGGGGGTCTCCCTTATACGCCGGGGGTTGCACCTGTGGACAGATTCTGCACCATGGCCGCTGCAGCCGTGTGGAAGATGATGTCAGCGCCGTCGTTGAGGTAATGCAGGTTGTTGCGACAATCAAAGCCCCTGTATCCAAACACATGGTCCAGCACCAGCTCCTGAAAGCCCACAACACAACAAGGATTGACCTGCTGCAGTACACACCCCAGTAAAGCCTGTCTTGCTAGAGATCACCCTTGCTGCCTGTTTCTGATCAAATGGCTGAACTGACCTTCCCCTCCAGTGGATTATTAGTTTACCAAGCCTATCAGGTTTGAAACAGTTGAGATGCAATGTTTTCTAGTTCAGATGGCTAGTGGAGGACTGCCCAGATCCAGCTGAGGCCCTCTGATGCCACAACAGGATTTCATTGCACTTGTGCATACGACAGATAAATTGAACTAATACGAGGATCATCAACTTGAGGAACCTCACTCGATCCCAGGCTGCTGCAAAAGTCACGTTGCTAGTTTCTCCATACCATGTACTCAAGAGTGGAAAAAAAACAAACTATTGATGGTCATGATGAGAGCTACCCTTAACTGCGCTCTGTCGTTTGATACCCTTTTCAGAGTGTCATTCTCTCCTTAAATATTGCTCATTTTAGGCCTTACTTATCAAAGATTAATACAGAGAGGTTACTGCATGTTTTTATTTTTTCAGGACTTGATTCTTGCATTGCTTTACTTGCCAGACATTTTGCACAGGACCTGAAAGGGTCACAATTTGTTCTTACTCCTCAGGATTCTAACCAGAACAAAACAAATGGTCACATCCTCCTCCGGAGTGTCCTATGACCCAAAACATGCTATATACTTATAGTCTGTAATTATTGCTATGTGAGGCACCATTGGACAGAATACAAAAGTGTTTTTACTCCTTGAAAAAGTTATAAATACAAAAAACAAAAATAATATTAAATTCTATTATTGTCATGTCATTTACCAAACTGCTTTATACCATACAGTGTGGCGGGAAGCCGGAGCCTACCCGGCAAGCAGCGAGCGCAAGGCAGGGTACACCCTGGACAGGACGCCAGTCCATCACAGGGCAAGTGCAGGCCAACTCTTATCGAGAAATGCGCTGGGATCTTTAATGACCACTGAGAGTCATGGCCTCGGTTTAACATCTCACTGAAAGATGACGCTCACTACAGTATAGTGTCCCTGTCACTATACCAGGGCATTAGGACCCACACAGACCGCAGGGTGGGCGCCCCCCGCTGGTCGCACTAACACCACTTTCAGCAGCAACCATAGCTTTCCCAGGAGTCTCCCTTCCAGGTACTGACGGGGCTCACACCTGCTGAGCTCCAGTGGGGCTGCCATCTGGGAGCTGCAGGGTGATATGGCTGCAGGCACTCTGCATATGAAGCAAGCTCTGTCACCCAGCAGACGTCTGCCTCTTGTAATGTCACCCAATATGCAGCTAGACACCGATTATCAAATGCACTCCTGTGTTGCCTCTACTGCCACCTGCTGCATGGGACCTTCCATTCAGCCTCGTCTCCCTGCTCGTTTCTCTAAATGTTCCCTTTTCACAGTCTGGCTCCCTTTTTCCTGTTCGTTGTCTGTTACCCCTTGTCTGCGTGCGTTGTTTCTGCTCCCTCTTGTCTTCATCCTCCTCTTGTTCAGTAATTTAATGTCTTTCTCTGCTGCCCTCTTCCAATCAACCTTCACCCCTAGCTTACTCCCTGATGCCATCACCTTGGGCATGGGTTGGCCTGGCATCATACCTCTGGCTCAGTCAGCTTTTAAATTCTGCCTTCCCTCCTGCCCCTATCCGTGGCATCCAACACGGTCCCAGGTTGGGCCTCTCTGGCCCCTGCTGCCGTCTCGGCCCCTGCTCTGTCTGCTATCCTACCTCTGGCTCAGTCTGCAAGTGTCCTACAGCGTTTAATGTCCGCCTTCTCTTTCCAACGTTACGTACACATTTCCATACTGCACCTATTCCTTCCTCCTGTGTCTCTGTTTCTGCATCAGTGGTTTTGTGGGTTCACTTGGGTCTTTTTGGGGTTCAAAGCAACCTCGTCCTATGGCTGGGAGGCTACCCCTTAACCAAAGTAAAAACTTACTATACTTAAACACTCAATAAACATTCAGTAAAGCACTTGACTGTTGAACATCATTATTCCTTGTGAAGTACATCTAAAATGATCATTTCTTAATTCGAAATATATATATAGACAGCCTGAAGCAGTGACTCTTACCTCCACCAGCTTCTTCTTCTTGGTGATATTGTTCTTCTGCAGTTTGTCAGGCTGAGGGGCAGCTCTGCTAACAGGAGGCCTGAAAAAATCAGATTCTGAATGAATATCGTCCTGAGTGTCCGCAAACCATTTTCACAACGCACCAGTGTGGAATCTGTCTCTGAGCTTCCCTCTCGTCAAGGTAGCAGAAATAAAAAATAAAGGTGTGATAATTTCAGGCTGGGCATATTCTAATTCAATATGGCACAAGCTTAATTAAAGTGACCTATCTAGCACAGCTTTAGATCTGAGCAAGGCCTTGTCGCCTCTTCAGAGAGTCACATAAATTACCCATTTTTACCAGTGACAAAGAGTTAACAGGCTTCTGCAAAAGTGTTTTTCAATCCTAAAGGGGCAACAACACCCAAAGGAAGCATACAAGTGTTGGCATTACCTGGCCACATTATCTGTGCTTTTGGAATTAATTAACTTAACACAATTTTTCCCCAAGGACAAACTGAAGAAGGAAGAATACAGTAAAACTTTTTAGCCATTCACACAACAACCTAAAACTACACATGGCAGAAATGAAATTATCTCAAGTTGAAAAGTTACTCGTTGAAGGGTAGAAGTGGTGTCATGTAGGAGTGAGAGATTGTAACTTGGATTAAGGGTGATCAAAAATCAGTCTGTAAATCCTATAGTTACACATTTCTTGGTGGAAAAAAGACCTATGTTTAATACAGTGGTACAGGCATTAAAATGAGTTTTCTTGGTTTATTATTACATAACCCTCGAGGCAAGCTGATTAGAAGGAATATGCAACAGTACAATTTACAATAACGTATACACAATAGGAGGTATCATGTCAACTTCACATGAGAAAACAAAGCAATACAATGGTGATGAACAAGCATTTGTTATACCACTGCTTGGCGAGGATGCAGAGTATAACAGCAACCACTATGACTGACTGCACAGCTAGAGTTCCAGAGAGCTGGTAAATCACTAGCCTTGATGCGATGTGAAAAGATTGTTTTGGCTCCGTTACAAATTTGCAAAGTAGAAGCATGTTATCAAATTTATTTTTATCTCCCTTATGAAATAAATAAAAAAAGTTTTCAGATAGTACTTTACCAGCTGTGGTTTGCAGCCTTGAAGGAGGTGTGTAAAACTTCTGCCTTCCCCTGTTGATTAATCTGACACTTACTTCATACATGAATGTGTATAATTTATGAGTCAGCTCTTGATTCTTATACGGCTGTCTTTCATGCTAACCAGGCAGTGGCAATAGCTGCTAAGTCTTTTGAAAGCTGATGGAGGTTATGTGTGATGAGGGAAAGAAATTGTCCTGGCCTACTGAGGCTTCTGCAGCACTGAAATACTTTCTTCCTGATCTTGCCAGTGTTGAGTGTTTTGGTAGAAATATCTAGCGTACTGTATATCGCAAAGAACATAATCAACAGAAAAAAGTAGTACACCTCCTTCACGTCAGTTGCATAAAATTTGATGCAAAAACAAAAAAACATCACTACCATCAAGCACATACTGTACATAGTTACGCACATTACAGTCTGACTGCAAAAAAAACAAAACTGTAATGTTTACCTGGATCCCCTTGTAGGCAGCAAATAAAGTCAAGTGAGAACTTTAATAGATTCAGGTCAACAATTCAGAACCCTTTTCTTCTCAGCTTTTTATTTAAAAATAAAAAATAAAAAAATCATGCTAAAGCAATCAGGAAAGCTGAATTGTCATTCCTGTGTGGCACAAACCATGCTTCTCAAGCATGCCAGAAAAGAAGTTCTTTTAAAAATGAAAGAGTGCACCAGTCTACAAATTTAGAAAGCTCATACCCTGGTGTCCCTGGGCAAACTGTGCACTAAAGCTCCTGAGGAACAGGGAGAGAGAAGCGCATCAGTGCTTCTGTGGGAAATGGCGCTATAAATACACTAAAGCCAGCACTCCCTACAGTCTGCAGCATGAAGGCCATTCTCTAGCAAAGCTTATTGCGAATACTCTAAATAAACAGCAGACATTATTTCTAAAGCTGTGGTATTTAATGGTCAAATTAAAACATGTGGTTTGGGCTACTGAGAGAAAACAATAGAACAAGTAGGTGAAAATGTTATTTATCATTAGTTTTTAGTTCTGGATTTTGCTATTAAATCCCCTTAATTAAACTACTTTCAAATCAATGTTTTTTTCTGCTAGGGTGACCATTAATAAGGCCGCAAGAAACCTTATCACTGTACAGCCGCAGATTCAACTGTGGAGACTCACTGCAGCACACAGCACACTACAGACTGCCATCCTGGTATTAGCGTGGAAAGGCTGACATGAAAATAATTTCAGACTTGTTCAGGCAACCCCGTTATGTTTAATATGAGCCATGGGTGTTCGTTGGAAAATGTACTAAACGCAGCGGTATGGGAAACAGTTTCTGAAACATGGTTGGCTTTTTCACAGCCACCAACGAGTAGGAGAACCTGACACTGTAGCATGACTGTCTACAGATTGAGCATAATAACAGCTGGATAAGTGACAGAAAAAAGAACTACAAAACACATGCTTTTTAAAAAGACAATCTTACACAAACTTATTTATGGCATCTTCTAGCAATTAAGCCTTTCTCTTTGATCAGCAGGTTCAGAAATATACAAATGAAGAGACGTGTGACCCAGTCCCAGCAATGGGGGAGAGAAAGTCTGTGTGGCGAAGATGCAGTAGTTACTGCCGACACAAATGTATTTCTAACCGGAGACCTTATCTGAAAACTACTTCGGGTAATGGAAGAGGTCCAGAAACCATGACCACATGTTTTTTTTTTGTTTTTGTTTGGCGTTATTTTTACAGCAGTGAGAAAAAATAGAGTTTGATCCAGATTCTAGGCACGGAAGAATCAAAAAAGGCTTGTACTTGTACTTGAGAAGTTAATTTTAATCAAAATACAGTACTTAGGCCTTCAGAAGATTAAAGATCCAGAGATCAAGCTTTCAAGGAACACCTGTTCACTACCATCAGAAAATATTCAATGCATGAGGACTGAGATACACGAGGAGCTCAAACCGCCTTCGATCTCCAGAACTGACCCCTAACCCCTACTCATTCTACAGAAGGGCACACAGCAGCACTCACAGGGCAACAGAAGACATTGCTCTGAGCTCACTCACGGCCAGCTCAAGTCAACAGTCAGCATGTGATTTCACGACATCTGCATTTTTCCTTCCTTCTTGTTGCACTTCGTATTTCATAAGTGCACTAGGTCAACACATTGGTTTAGATTCTGCTTACACTGCTATCAGCTCAGGGGATGATGCTGGGAAGCTGACTGGTATTGCACAATACTTCCTTTTTAATGAAACATGACGGCAGTCTTTTTTCCGATTTGAACGTGACACATTGCTCAAGCAGGTCAGGCTTTGGGTTGAAATGTAAAAACTTGGTTCCGAATACCTCAGGCTTTTTTACTTTGGCCAATTAATAAAAAAAAATCTCCAGATTAAATGGCTAATTCTTCTCTTCCTCCACCCCCCCATCAGCTCTGTGGAGAGCATCTGCTGCTAAGAGCCAGAGGGGGCTGTAATTCAGTGTTGGCTTAATTCATCATCTAAATCCCATCCTGCAGAGTTAGTTTGAGATTTTTTTATTGGCAAGTGTTAAATCCAACTTCACTTCCCACAGTGAAGCCTTCTTTCACATAACATTGCAATCTGATTTTTGACAGTTAATGGAAATTTAGTCAGAATGATTTCAAAATACTGTATAACTGAAGCTTTTTTCATGCCCCACATTTAGCCAAAGCAGAAAGGAAATGCCGAATCACACCAAACATGCAGCATCAGACGTGCATCAGGTAAAAAGAAAAATGCAGATGACACTAATTACTCCGTTTAAAGGTTCGGTATATTTTCGAGCCTGGTTAAAAGGAAAACGTGCAGGCTATTCAGTCTTCTCACTGGGGTACACATGGTCTCCCCAGTGAGCGTACACACACATGTGCATGCAGTTTTAGTGAGTGCTGTTCTCTAGCTGTACAATACAAATGAACTTGAGTTACAGCGAGACACATTGCTGCTCTAAACCACATTTGTGGTTCACCAGAAAGCACAGTTTAGCAGGTCTACAAATGCAAGAAGAACTCTTTTCAGGTTTTAAATGGCATGCCTAATTCTGTAGGTTTGGCACACACAACCCTGATCTTCCCAATGACCCAAGAGAACAGGTCAGTTGGTTCTTTATGTAACTTTGTGTCCTTTCTTTAAAGCAGTTTCAGCTGGTATGTTATGAACCCAAAGGTTAAACATATTAAATTTGAACAATTTAGAATAGAAATTGTTTCAGATATGATTATGCATTATTGATAATTTGTTGTTAGAAATGAAATAATATGGTGTACAAAAACACTTGAAATTATTTTAAATATGACAGAATTGCTTGTCACTTCTTACGTCTGAACCCATACAGAAGTAAAGTTTTTTCTGTTCCATAACAAGCGAGACAAACCATTACTGGGACTATGGTTAGCTGTAGAATACTTACAAAATTATTTTCATGGCAAGACATACAGTAGTTTTCTAATTTCTATTTGCATGTCACCTTTCAACTGATGTATGAACTACACTGTAATTGTAAAAAAGAATAATCTTGCATAACATTAACAGGGAAGTTAACAAGTATCATTACTATTAGAAATATGACAGTCTGTGATCTGTGCAATATTAGGATATCATACTAAGTTTACAAGAAGTCTTGCTCCATGCCCTGTCCAAATTTAGCCCTGTCACTAAACAATGTTATAGAGAAACTCCCATGGCCATTATTATTTAACAACACCTAACAGAAAAGCTAAAATTACTAAAGTAAGCAGTTAATTATAATTACAAGTTACTCATGGGTAAGTTAAATAATCTTATTCTGTTGCAAGATATTGCAGTTTCCATCATAAAAGTATTTGACAAACCCTTCAGTATGAACATTGGCTACACAAGGGAACAACATCAGAAGTAACACACAATGTGTGTATTCGGGGCTGACAGAAATAAAAGGCAAAGCCGAATCACAGTAATACAGGGATTAAACTCAGCACTAGTGGTGCATTTGATGGTACTTACTTGACAATTCCCTGCCTCCAAAGGAAAGCAAGTTAAAACACAATACAGATATTAAGAGTTTCTTAAAAGACAGAGTAGCAAAGTGTATTGTGTGGAGGGTGTCAGAGATGGCTGGCTTGGACAAAATGAAGGTGAGTGAAACTGTTTCCACACCAGGGACATGGTGGTGAAGTGCACTGCAGGATACAGGGTGATGTAATCGATCCCCGAGCGATCTGCCCCACTGCAATGCCCCATGTGCTGCTTTCATAGATGAGAAAAGTACAGTCCTCTGTTACTTTCATACTGTATAAAGCCACATATGCAACAGGTGGGGACAAATGAATATTTGGTTACATAAGGAATTGGGTGGCTGTTATGTAGAGCTACAGTACATACTGGCCAATATCCTCTGAGACAGACGATTTCTGGGTGAGCATGATGCATCTTGCCCATTTTGGAGCTCATTGCTGCATGGGGTCAGCAAAATGAATGGGTAGAAGAAAGGGTGGGATAGTGCAAAACTAATTTAAAAATCACGTGTAAGACCAGGTACCAGGAAAGCGCAGAGGAAGCAGAAAAGGAGTGATGGAAAGGAAGAGAATCAGGAAGGTAAAATCAGATTCTGAGACACAACAAGAGGGAAATGGAAAGAAGGGCTCACAAGAGGCTTGTTAACAGCTCAGTCTGAGCACTACTGAAAGTCTCACATTGACCCTGGCCTTCAACCTGGTCACCTGGTCCCAACACAATGAACACCAAAGAAACTGCAGTGCAATCCCCTCTCCACCTCACCCAGGCTGGTGAGGCACCGACACTGGTGAACACACGGCTGGTGTTACATAGTAAACCTGCACTTTGGTGCACAGCCCTTGCTTCCAGTTTTAAACCATCAAGGATAGTTTAATCCATCATAATGTTATAATAATGACCTTTCACATTTTGCCCTAGCGGTGTGACGTTTTAGCCTCACAGCTCTAGGGTACTGTGATCAGGTCAAGCCAAGGGCTGCTGCCTGTGTGGGGACTGCATATTCTCCCCATGTCTGTCTGGCACACCAGCTCTACCCACCTCCCAAAGAAGGAAGGGTTCACAGTGGAAAATCTCTTTCCCAACGCTTCTGTAGGGCATAGTATCCGTCTAGAGGTCAGCTGTTAAGCAGAGTATGATGCCTATGACGTTTTCATTCACACTAGAGAGACCTGCTTTGTTTCATAAACGACTTCTGGTGGAAGAGCATGAGAGGTGCATGACCAAACATAACACAGCAACACTCGTACAATCATAAGATTTCTATCAATTACAATGAGATACATCATCGAGAAAAAAGACAAGGGGGTAAGGACAATGATGAAAACTACTCGTTAGTTGATGAAAACTACTCGTTAAACTAGCAGGTTTACAGAGGAAGTAATGTTTCGAATTCTGTCCACTTTTAGGCAAACAGAAAACGCAACAATGTATCCATGACACTTTCTGAAAATGAATCCAAAGGCTCATAATGGTATGAAAATGCAAAGACAGCATGAGAATCCAAACACGATTTCTAGAAGTGTTCTTTCTAAATCTTGTCCATCACACATGCAAGTGGCATGCCAGGGAATAGAGCACTGGAGCGGATCACATGACTGAGCAGCAAAAAACAAAAGTATAGTGCATGAGACTTAGTGCAGCAAACAAAGCCTTTGGATAGAAGGAATCTGTGTCACACGTGGCACCATGATGCAGAGGAGCAGCAAGGAAAACCTAAACAATTTCCACACTGGTCAGGACATTTCACCCACAAAAATACCATACCTACACACTACATGAAGATTTCATGCCAATGAGGAAAACCTAAAGGAACACGAATGCGATCAATGACAATTACTGCAAAAGGTTCCTTGCAATGACGTTGCATGAGGACGATTACCACTAGAGTGTCAATATTTAAGCATAGAGGATCTTTTGTCTTTATGCATCCACTAGGGAGCGGATGTGTTGGCACTGGTGAACCCTTCCTGCACTGGCTGACCTGAGTGACTTCGATATACTAAAGCTGCTAAGAGGCTCTTTTTCAGTTGGGTCACAAGTTTAGTGGTGACGGATCATGGAACGAACTGGAAATTCTTAACATACAGTACCAAGCGACCTCTAGCGGGATTTTGTTTTCAGTGAAAATCAAATAAATCACTGGTTTATAGGATCAATTTAAAAGTTCTCTATACACATTGTTATTGCAAACCAGCTATCTCTACTTTACAAATTTGGCTTGAAAACTGCTTTTTTGAAAAATTGCTGAAGAGTTGGGCTGCTCAATCACTAGACAGCAGTGAACTACAAACTCCAATATTTTCACAACAACCTTCCTGTTTAAAACATGCTGAACACACTAAGCCCCTGCCAACAAGTCAATCATATACAGTGTCTGTCAGCATTTGTAAACCACCCAATTTCAACACTTATCAAATTGAACTGTGGTCGCTGCTCATTCATGAGGCTGGTATGTAGAAGCTGCCGTTTAATATTTTGCTTTAACTACACTTTGACTAAAATCAATACATTAACTTCACATTTAAGGAACTGAAGAACAACTATACAACAGAAATTAGCATGATGTATTCTGTAATGATCATTGTAGAAACAATCTGGTATTTTCTGTAGGACAGTTAGTTGTTTAAGCCAAAAATGTATACTACCGACAAGGGACCTGTGCATGGATTTCCCTGTAAAGCTTTCTTGCCTGATGTGCAGGCTGAGCCCCTGGCCTATGATCTTAAACCCAGGATTTTCCCATTTACCATATGTGGCAAGGAGTTGCAGGGAGTGGCATGAATTTGGGAATGACTGGCTTGCTGTTCTATGCCAGAAACTGCTGGAGCGCTGGGGGGCAGTTCTAGAGGAAGGCATTGGAAGAGGGGTCAGAGAAAGATCTGCTCGATCTGCATCGGATGAGCAGAAAGGATTGAACTGCATCACAGCACAAGACACAGAGCACACGTTTGGCTGTGGTTTCTCATTTTGTTCTTACCGGCTGGCATGCATGGACACAGGGGAATCCGGTGGGCTAGAAACAGGGGACTCCATACTGGAGAGTTTAACTGGCAGAACTATAACCCCCCTACCCCTGCTAGAACAAAACAACTAACTGGAAGATAGAAAAGCTAAGTCTCAGCACAGTGGTCAGGCTGTGCTCTGGACTCTCAGCTTCGTGTGTTACACCACGCACTGCATTCCCCTCTATCAGTTTCCGAATCATGCAGGAGCTACTGTATTCCAGACAGCTGTTGGACAGTGCAGGTTCCTACCGGGGAAGTTTTACTTGGGCCAGAAGGCTTTTTCCCCCATTCTTTTCCAGTAAAACAACAAGATGTAATGTAAGGAACAAGATGTAAATAACTGCTTCTGAAGAAATCATTAAAAATAGCTTCCAACAGTTTTAGTTTCCTTTAAATCCTCTTCTTTCTTAAAAAAAGAAACAATTTTACTACCACTAGATGGCAGCATAAAGTCAAAATTGACTATGGACTGATGCGAATTTCCAGTCAAACATTTTAAGTTGGCGGACGTTTAAGCTACAGTGGCCAAATCGACTGAATGAACTGCTCCTGCCTTCACAGGCGATTCCTTCACATTATGGCTTTGCGAAGTGACGCAAGAATGTGTTGCAAAAAAAATTTCAGGAGCCATTTTCAGACCATGGTATTCATGGATCTAACAACACAAATGCATGTCAAGAATGGGCAGGCAGGAGGACACCTGCCATTCTGAGTGGGACCGGAAAGGAAGAAGAGTCTCTGGAGAAGCTGGAATGGATTACAGAAGCATGAGGAATGTACCTTTCTTCTGCAGACATTTCTTTCTGCTGCTGGTGAGGCTTGGTGCCAGCCATCTCCCGGATACTAACTGCATAGATCTTAGTGGTGTAGTCGACAGATTTCTCCCGGGCAACATCGCTGTCATACCCTGCAAGACATGGACACGATTAACACCCTCCAGCAGTGCATCGGAAAAGCTCTATTTTTGTTTTGTCTCGGCTGTGCCAAAACTCATATTTCACAAAGGCAAACTGCTCCTGATGTCAAAAGCCTTCGTTAGAAAGCTCCGCTAATGGCTCCCTTTCACGCAGCCCCAGCAGAATGGCACTTAAGAGAATCTGCAGCCGCAATGATAAAGTCCTTAGGAAAGCACATACGGTCATAAGGTTTCAGAAGTAAAGCAGTCTTCAAATCAATACCAGCCGTGTGCTGCAGACTTTTTTTGTGGCCCACAGTGACGTAAGTTGGCTAAGAGGTCCAGTCTTCAGTGAACTGGACTGGAAACAGGGACCGAGATCTCTCTATTTCAGCTACAGCTCTGTCTGTGACATTGCCTTACGGTCAGCAGTTATTCGTGCTATATCTTTCAGATAAAATATAGACCTGTGGAGTTCTGCTCCTAAGTGACTCTGCTTTATAAGTTGTTCAAGAACAGCTGAACCCCTTGTATGAAAAATAACTAAAAATACAAATTATTTTAATGGAGTTTCAGGAAGCATGACAGCAACCAAGTTCAATCAGACTTGGCTTTCAGTAACTAGCTATCACTCCTGACTAATTTCCTCTCCTAAAACACAATAAATACTATACATGATCCCCTTCTCTCCCTCACATACTGTACCTCCAGCCCATCTCCACCTCTGCAGCTGATCCTGGGTCACCCCTCACTTTGCAGGGGGTCCCAGCCTCCTCACCCCCTGGCCAGGAGGTCAGCCCTCAGCCAAGCAGGTTAAGCCAAATTTTGCTCCCTATTCTTGGGTGTCATTATTCCTAGTGAAGTCATAAGGAATAGTTTTTATCTATCTACAGGAAGAAACGCATGAGAGGTCACAATATAGTCTCTGTCCATAGCTGGTCCTGCAAAGTCTATTTACTGTAGGACATCTAATGGCATCTTTCAGTAATCTCCATATTCCCAGGGTGCCAGCTGCTCGTGTTCCACAATACGCCATAGCTTATTGTTGACAGTAGCACCTGCTAACAAGCCCTATGTTGCGCTGAGAGCAGCTGAAAGTAAGGGGATAGACCCCATGTGGATACAAGGAACTGGAAGATCTGCAAGCAGAGTATACGGGGAGAACCAAGGTCATAGTCCAAACAAGCAACAGATCAAAAACCAAAAGGTCTTGGAAAACAAAATTATCTGAGGGAGAATCCAGCAATCAGGGGTTCAAAGTCCAGGCAAAACTCCTTGAGCCACAAAAAAGAAAAAAAGGCAACCAGGATGCATGGCTCCCTAGGTGTTAACCCAATACTGAGCAAGGAAGAGACCGAGAGGAGGGTTTAAGTAGGTTGGAGGCGGGGTGATGAGTTAACGAGGTCTGATTAACCGACGCCTCCCCAGAGTGGATGAGGTATGTGCTATCGGTTTGGGTGCCCTCTGGTGGCGGGATGCTGGTACTGCAACACCCTAGACTTCACTTAACAAGTACTGAACCAGACCTCAGAAACCACCGCCTTTAAAACTACCACCTTACCTTGGGATAGGCTTTGCAAAGTGTAATTGAGATGCACCTTCACACATGACAATGCTTGTTTACTGAACGCAGGTTTCGGTGTTTACCCCCGTCCTCCTCGGTGTCCGTGTCGGACTCTTCGCTGTCCACGTGCTTGCTCTCCTTGTTGCCAGAAGGCTCTCGGGCCCAGATCATGAGCGCAGTGTCGGCACCCCCTACCGTGAGCAGCGTGGAGTCGTCCTGGGACCACCGCACGTTAGTCACATGGGCACTGTGGCCCACATACTTCTTAAACTTGGCATACTGTCCCTGCAGAGAAAACAGTGATAATAATAATAATAATAACACTCCACTCAAAGCGCTTTACAGGTAATGGGGACTCCCCTCCACCACCACCAATGTGCAGGATCCACCTGGATGTGATGTGGAAGCAATCTATCCTAAATCAAGACTGATAACAGATATAATTCTTTACTTGGTTGGTTCTTTGTGGTGGTGCACTACAGTATATTAAACATACTACCTCATATTTCTGTAAGCCTTATGCAAATAAGGGGTTTCTAGATAAGCTTTAATCTATATCTAAAAGCAGGTAATACAATCTGAAAGGAAGCATGCACTGCTAATAATGAATCAACACTCGCTCATTCTGGTTTAACTGACACACTCCAATGAGACTCAGTGCTGCAATAGGTTGTAGCCAGAGGATTGTACTGGGAACTGAGTCCCTACTAACTGCAGACGCTGCAGTGCTGATCAGTGTGCTCTGTCACCTTGGCAGGGTAGGTAAAGAGCTTTACGAAGCCAAAGTCATCCCCGGTGGCCAGCAGCTTCCTGTCTTTGGTCAGAGAGGCGGCGTTGACGTCTGTGATGTCACTGTGGGTGGGCCAGATGCCCTCACAGGTGGGGCCCAGCACACACGTCCAAGTGGCCCACTCAATCTTCTCAATCTAGGGCAGGATTGTACAGACCAGGTGAGGTCAGAGAGGACCCAGGAATGTAAGAGGCCTTAGCAGGAGAGTCTCTAAGTCCCTAGGTCTCTTCACAGGCTCTCATACCCATGGCTGTTATGTAAAGTGAGAATACAACCCATTTAACTGAATCTGACGTTGCACATTTCTGGACTCACTATGAAGGTGACATTCAGAAGCTATTTACCACCATTCACAGTTCACATTTACAATGAAAAATAAAATACAATTAAGTAAAATTTTGCGTAGAGATTTTTAGTTTCAAAAGGGTGATGCAGAAATTGTCTACTGTTTTTCGGAATATATGACTGAGTCCTCTCATATTACATACAAATATTAAAAAAAAAACACTTGATTTATGACTTTTCATTTTATAGTCCCCTGTACATGACCGAGCTGCAGAAGCTGATGAGATTCTGAAGGACAGTTAGAGATGACCCACAGCTAAAGCTGCAGCCCTGTGACTGCTTCATGATACAGATGCCTGATTTTTAATTACAGCACCCAACTGTGAGAAAGGAGAGCAGAAGGAGAGCAGAAGGACTTGACTGGTGATTGGCGTGCATGTTACAGGTAATCTATCCAAGACAAATAATTTAATAAAAGTAAAGAAGAAACATAATGAGAAAGTCTCATGCAATACCACAGATTTGTAATCCTTTAAAGGGTTGAAGAAAAGAGATTGTAAAGTTTTGTTCTCTCCTACCTCAGATAGCCGGATTGTTTGCCTTTTCCCTCTGGGGGCTTCAAAGAATAATTGCTCTTTGGCACCGGAATTAACTTGTAATAATTTACCTGCATTGGATAAAATAAGGTCATTGTGTGCATCAGAGCAAAGCAAAACGAATTTTAAAATAAAAAGCAATCCACTGTCCATGCTGCATCTCATGAATGCATTTGTCTTGCCAGTTCCCATTATTTCTCGTCTTGTATACAACAGTCTGAAACAACACAAGCCTGCTGCTGTCCCGCAGGGAAGGAGGACAAATGTGCTGCCTCTGCTTATAACGCAAACCCCGAACTTCGAGAATGATAAGAAATTGCGGTGACATCAGGGAGGATGCCTATATAACAACATCAAACAACTGGCGGTCAAATTCAGATCTTGGACTCGGTTGCCTTCACCTGTTAATAAACAACAGGGAAACAGCTCTGCAGGAAATGACTTCACTGTTATGACACCCATCCAGCAGCTAAAGCCACACCCTAGTCACTCCCCTTCTTTTGTGCATTCCTTCTTACAACGTCTGATGTGGAACTATGCCATTAGATACAAGAGCCCCACATTTCTTGTTTTTTATTTTAGAAATGCAGTTTCTATTACTTTTTATACCCACCCAGTCTGGAACGGCCAGCTGTGTTTTTCACGTTGTGGCTCACAGCTAGAATGGGGATTAATGCGGTAGTCTAGAAAGACTCCTCTGACATACGCACCGTGTACCTAATCATCTTTTAACACATCACTGGCACCACAGGACCGTCTGGAGGCAAGGCGTGTCGCTCACTGACAGCACTGAGAAGTTTCGAGCACCTGCGGGGCTTTGGGGTTTGTTGGGTTTCTGTGAGCCGAGAAAGTCTGGCTAGTCCCCACCCTGTCCTCAGCAGCTCTCAGCTCTTACACCCCCGGTTTCCCGTACGGCCCCTTTCAGAAAGCGTAGACTTTTCAGGTATACCTGACCACTCACCTGTCCCGCTTAACCCACGCACCCTCAGCTCTTCTCTAGTTTAGGATGCTAAATTTTATTTATTTTATGCTAAATTTTTGCTAAATATTTTAGGAGTGAATGATGCTCTAGTCATTCATTCTCGGCTCAGTATTTTGGAAGCTCGCTCCTGGTACTTGGATTCTCGATGATTCTCGGTACTTCATCGTTTGTCTTCTTACTCCAGGTTTGCGACTTGTTTTCTCTTTGACCTCGTTTTCGGGATTACATTTCTGGCTTGCTGTTTTGGTCTCACATTTACCGGCTTTCGGACTCCTGGATTTACTGAACCATGGCTTTGGATAGTGTTTCGGAACGGCACACTTGTGCTTTCCCTTTGGCTTTTGATTTACGGCTTTGGATACGGCCCCCCGGCTCAGCACAGGATCCCACTCGACTTATCTGGCAACCCTAACATCAGCTGACTGTGTGCCTCTGCTCTGGGAACCCCAGTCACAGTCAGCTAGTGACACGGCCCAGGCTTGAACCCGCAATGTCTGGATCTAAGAGCTCCCCCAGCACTCTGGGGTCTTACCTCGGGTATCCCAGTCTATGTGCGTGATGTAGCTTGAAGCTCCTTTGCAGATGCCGACCCTTTTGCTGGTCAGCACGTTGTAAATGTCCACAAAATTATCGTGAGAAGCCACTGCTAGGTATTTTCCAGCATCTAGGGGAAAAAGGGGACATCACGAGTGAGGCCAACAAAAAACAAACAAAGTCTCATTGAAAATAATCTTCGGCCAAGCAGCTCCTGGCACCAGTGTGGCACTTTGACCTGACTAACCATCCCCTGGGCACTGCCTTCACTTTGCTAAGAACATTTTGGCATTTGTATGCATCATGCTCATTTACTCTGAATCACTTTGTCCGCTTAGGCCTGGACTGGTGAAACGGAGATGCTATAAGAGGGGAACGTTAGATCCTGACCTTCCGCACAAACATGAGGAGACTGGAAATGCTGGGAAAGCTGCCTCTCCCAAGACCAAGACAGATTGAAGTGTCTCTTCACTCTGTCCGCTACAGAACATTCACCAACAATGAAACTTGGACTTGAAGAAATCAGGAAGCCAATTCAATGTTTTGTTCGAGTAACACAGTAGGAACCTTTACTGAAAAAGGTCACAAATGAGATTTCACCCATCTTGCTCATTTGGTTGCGAGCAACTCATTGGTCAGAAAGATGGTTATGATTTATTGTGCTTCATCTTAGATAATGCAATATGCATTTTAAAGGATTCTCGTTGCTTGTGCAAGCCAAGCTGTTAATATTCTTTCAGCTATGTTTAACACAGATATGAAAGATGATGTCACTCCTTTTTTAAAATGAGGTGGAACCGATGTTGCTTCTGCGACTTCCTCAGGCGAAGTGAAGACCTCGACAATGCTCACCTTGTGAAAACCTGATATCAGAAATGTTTTCCTTTCTGTGATGGAAGGACACCATGTCTTCCAGAGTGTCCGAGTTCACTACAATGAAACTGCCATCGTTCAAGCCCACTGCGAGGGCTTTCCCATCTGGGGAGAAGGCACAGCATCTACCACCTGGAAGGCAGGGTCAGGAAAATGAAGAAGCGAGCAGGACAATTCACAAAGAGGAAATGAAGAGAAACAGGAAGTGGATCAAGGACCAGAAAGTCCATAATACTGTAGTAAACATCTGAGGCAAGCAGGCAGGCATCAGTACTACACTGTATTAGTTTGTGTTCATGAAAAGAAACATTCAGCCTACAGTGCTGAAGACATTTATGAGAAACAATGCCATGGATTTCAATCCACATCGGTTTATTTTCTTCACCTTGAGCCGTGGTTTTCTCTGTTTTGCTGTGCCTCTGATATTCTTCATCTGTAAAACCATCATGCTTCACCACCTTGACTTCATCAATTTCAGCACAGTTGTGCTGACCTCCTTTACTGAAACCGTGGGACAAGCAGCAAAGGGCCACAGAGATCGATACCTTTCTTGAGTTTGCGCACTGCCACCATGCGATGGTTGGAGGAGAGCTCCCAGATGCGCAGGGTCTTGTCGTCGCTCACTGTGGCACATATCGGGAGCAGGGGATGAGCTGCCAGGCCCCACACTTCTCCTTCCATGTGACCCTGGACAAACGCAACACACACACAGCCATTGCCTTCAACACTGTGAGACTTGCATTCTATGACGCTTCACATCCAGGATTGTGATTGCAGATAATATGGAGTATGGATACTTATACTTGCATTGGAAGCTTTCTGTTATCAAATCTAAAGTTACTTTTACTTCTCATGGTTAAAGATAGGCTCATTTGTTGTGTTTCAATAGAAAATTGTATTGTTTGCAAAATAATAATGTCTAATCGCACTGATCAGTATATAGGCCAACTGGTATAAATCCCAAGAGCAGCTCACCAGCTGAAATACTGAAAATGACTCCATGGAGAGACACATTCATTCTCTTTCAGAAAGCTCAGTTTGCACACCACTGGCTATTGACACTTATTATAATATGCTTGTAAATACTGTACATTGGTTAATGCTCTAGTAACCAGTGTGATTAATATGCTGTATGTGATTTTTTTAGACATACTATATAAGAGCAAAACTACTACATTCAATGGTGTGTAAAGACAGCCTTCATTTAAGTTTCTCAGGATCACAGCAAGAACCTACAACTTCACTGACCCTGACCTCTCCATCCCTCCTTGAGTCTTCATGTTGAGATGTTAAGCAACTCTGTAGTATGAAGAAGACAGAAGCGTCTTCTGTCTGTGTCTGTTTTTCTTTCATTTCTTAGCTGATGCAAATTCACCTACTGTATGCATGCTTTTCGGAATTCTTTTTACTATTTCACAGGCTCTGAAAAGTTTCTCAGTGGAAGAGAAGCCTGTGCTACACTGATAAACATGCCTATCTTGGTTCTATGCCTGAAATATATTTGCAGAGACGGTCTTTCCTGATTTAGTTAATCGAGCGGCAAATTGCTAATTAAAAAAATGGAAGCTTGAAACTGGGACACAAACCAAAAAAAATGAATAAAGGAATAAAACAGTGATGGCTAAAAGGGCACCTCCATGACTCTTGCAGGTGCACCCCAAGATAAGCAACCATTCAAATTAACAAGGGGAACCCCAGCACCCCAGTCGAACAGCTTCTTTCTGTCACTGTGGTCTCAGCAGAAATAAGACTTGGCAAACAGAACCAGGATAAGGACTAAGAAGAGTCTCACTCTTCAGGTGTTGATAGGCAATAATCACTTTGCTTCGCTTGTTAAAAACACAAAGACCTGTCACTTTCACAACCAGCTCTCACCTCAAGCAGTGGGAGCAACAGTCTGTCAGATCGCTATGGAAACAACTACGTGAGAAGCCATTCTAACAGGGAGGCTGGGAGTCTCTCAGCAGGAGCGGCACGATCTTCACACACTGAGAACTAACAGTAGCAGTGCTAAGATAACACCAAGGTCCTCAGGTACAGCGAAAGAATGCAGAACATTAGACTGGGTCAGAGTACCCGGTCCAAAGGAAAGATCACAAGACTTCTTTTAGATTCTAGCCCGAATGCTCAACCTGTTCCTTTCAGTCTGACTGCAATTGAAAAGGGGGCCACTCCCAGAGGTCCCGAAATACTTCCGCTCTCTCCCTCCATCGGGATATAATGGTTCCCTATCACCTTCCCCCGGAGACCTCTCAGCTCTTTCCATGCACCAAGGCTGTGCTGCTCTGTTGGTTTCTTGGGGAAAGGTGCTCAAGACACAGAGCTGGAAACCGAGCTCTGCCAGGTGTCTGCAAGTTTCCAGAGTACGACCCTCCTGGGAGGTGACAAGCAAAACTGGCTATTCTAGATTGGGTGGGTATAACACAAATGTCTGGCAATTTGTAATCAGTAAATGAAAAAAAGATGTGTGCCTGAGGGATCTGTAACATTACAGACACGCAAGGATATGCTAAATATCCAAAGAGTTTCAAGTGGGGAGCTGTGTCGGCATACACTGGCTGCAAAGACAACTGGAAAATTGAGCTTTTTCCTATGTTTCAGCCTGGAGTTAACCTTTACTTGTTCCTAAACATCCAAATAGCCTTCTCAGCTGTGAGATGTCTGCTGTAGAAAGAAAGCAAAGCAAGAAATAATTTTCAGAAAAACAAGCCTGTGTCACTGCTATTCAGAAATTGTGTAGTTGTTTGACAAGGAATCACATCTAGGCCCATCTAGCATATCTGATAGCCCGGATGGCTTCCTCTTGTCTGTAAACTTCTTATTTTCTTGTTTATTCTTATTTTGTAACCAAACAACTGTGTCCATCTTGAAAAGCCAGCTGAAAAAGAGAAGGAGAAGAAACAGGGCAAATTCCAACAAAGGAAAGCAGCTCCTGTCTGCCTACCTGAACCAGCAGGGTCATGGGGCCACTTTTATCAATTTCCAGTATTTCTCCATTCTTTGTTCCAACCAGGATGTGACCGTGTCCGAGAGTAATGGCACGGATTGAGGGATTATCTTCCAGGAGCAGGCCTGTACAGAATAACAAGACATCAGGCACAGTCATGTCAAGTGGTCTAGCGTTGTTTTTATTGAATAAACACACTGACGTGGCTCAGCCTGTTTCCTCTGAAGAGCACTCTCTTTGTATGATGTGTCAAGAAGGCTGATCCATTAATGTGTTACAGCAGTAAAACCCAGGATCTGCATTTGCAGGTTTACAAATAGTCTTCTGCAAAATTCTCTGGTTCTCTTCGTGTCATTATCTGCTATGACTCCTAAAAAGTGGCAACTTTAAAAAGGTTTCTCATTTTCAAAAGTTAGGCGGCATTAATTTTTAATGTTCCATTTCCAGTGTTATCACTAATTAGCTTCTGTACACTTTTGTGCAAACAGTCTTTCCAGAAGGTACAGTATTTATGCTGCTGCAGTTAGTCAGCACAGCAGGTGATATTCCTGTTCCCGAAACCCGCACTGCTGTAAACCACATATAAAACATTAATACGCCTTCCACATTAAAACAAATGAGAACATTCTACCATATCATAAATAATGTGCAAGACTGCAGATATTCAAATATGAGATTTGGTGCTTGATGGATTGAAAACCCAGACCGAAGTAGCAAAGGGAGAATCATAGAGTGTTTTGGGGAAAAAAAAAAGATTTTCTAGCACAAAATTGCACTACATGAAACAAGTAAAGTGAGAAGAGGAAAGCATAGGAAATGTACTTTTTACCTTATTTATTAAAGTACCTTATTTACTTTTATTTGCTGTTTTTATGCTTAGATACTTATACGTAGATGCTGTGCTCTGTTGTTAGGTGATTGTACACAAAAACAGAAAGTTAAACACATCAGAGAGCTACCTGGCCTGATCAACAACACCTCATTTTTCCCAAAAACATCATTGACCTATTCTTCGACTGGTGTGCAGCCAAAGACATGCACCTATCGGGGAGGGGGAGGGGGGATTTTTTCTAAAAAGGAGCAAGATGGAGTGTGACTGTTCAGCTCGCTTATCAGAGCTGGAGACCGGACCTGCTGTTCAAACACGTCTGCCATCAGAGTCAATCAGGAGTGGTGGCTGAAGCTGTGAGCGCAGGAGAAAACAGCGGCTGGCGACAGAGGGAGGCGGGGAACACTGGACAAGCCGGTAACGAGCGGCAGACCACGTCTCCAGGAACAGGAGCCGTCATTTTAACAAGGAGCCGTGGGTGTGACTGGCCAAGGGAAATGTCAGGCAGATCAATTTAACTTATATTCTTGATTCTGCGCTGAAGCATTCTCTGTTTTCCATTCACTATTCCATAATAAGAGATGCAGTACTTTGTATGCTGCCTATTAATTCCTGAATCAATATTTTATGAGGACCTTTTTTCCCCAAGCCCCCTAAATATAGCATATCGCATGCTTTGTTCAAAGAGCCCTAACAAGATAACAATTTCTTGTTAGTCCGACTATCCTCTTGAATTCTACTGCTAAGCCAACGATCCTCTAATTTTGTTATATTTTTCATTTTCAAACCTTACATGTAAAAGAAGCAAGACTAGTAGTCTATAATTACTTGGTTTGGCTGTGCTACACTATTTATAGATTTGTACTGGATGTGTGCTGTCTCCCTTACTCCTTGTTCTGTACACAAGTGATTGTAAGAGTTATCACCACTCATGACACATACAGTTGACTCGCAGCTGACACGTCTTCAACGTACTCGGTCAGCTCCAGAAAATAAATAAATATTAAAATATTATAATATTGAAAAGTTTTCTCTGAAAAATTCATCAAGCATGCCTATGAGAACTAGTTAGTGAGCCTATACAGTCAGCTTATTTTATTTGACGTTTTTATACTGGTATGTAATATCTTGAATCACCGTTAAGAGGCTAGTAGGGGTTCTTATAAGGGTTATGAAGTAAAATTTGACTATACACAAATCTGGCACAACACAAAATCCCTTACGAGTCGACTCGTAATGATGTGTTTATGTTTGCAGGCAACTCGGTTATTGTTCGTGTGCTGAAAGCAGATGAGTGAAGCCACAGGCCCGTTGCAGATGGATTAGTCACTTGGTATGAAGAAAACTATTTGAAATTAAATGTCTCTAGGACCAAAGGCATGGCAATTGATTGCTAGACGAGTCCCCAGGCAAACCACTCAAACCTGCAACAGCAGAGGATCAGTGGAAATGGTAGATATTTTATTCACAGTATTAAGGGACTGTTCCGCACTGTAAATTCAATTTTGAGGTAAATGTCAATTCTATCTCCATAAAAGGGCAACTCCATCTATGTTTCTGAAGGAAGATAACAAAATATCAACCTTAAAATGTTTTGTTGATCATATTTTATCAGTCTTTCCCCAAATCTGCTTTAACTTTTGCCCTGATCCACTGCTGTTCTCACTGGCGTTGATTTTTAAGCCCTATCCCACATTTAGCAGTTACAAGTCTTGCTTAAAGCATATTCCACCCTAGAGGACTCTTCACACCCTTTGTGAATTTCAATTACTCTCCTCAGAAGGCAGATATAGATTTTCCATTCTACAAACAAACAGGTTTAAGTTTGTATTTATACCTGTGGTGGTAACGTTGCTCAACAGATGATTCTCTTGTGCACGTGTATTGTTTGTGTTTTCTTTATATTGTCTGCAGCTGTTAAAACTAATTGCCCCGTGGGGAGAATAAAGACTCTCTCTCTGGTGCTACATTAGCCATACTCCAGTCAATGGCTATTTACACCTGTAAATTTGTGGAAGAATCAAGTTTATCGGATATAAAAACATAAATTTGTTTCAGTGCAATTTGTAAAAAAAACATTAGTCCCTGAAGATGTGCTTACCTTAACTGCTTTTTGTACCTGTTACACTTCTGCCTCTTCTAAGTTAATTTTATTTCATATACAGTTGCAAGAAAAAGTTTGTGAACCCTTTGGAATTACCTGGTCTGATCTTCAACTAAGTCACAATGATAGACAAACAATCTGCTTAAACTAAACACACACAAACAATGTTACCTCTTCTTGTCAATATTGAACACATCGTTTTAACATTCACAGTCCAGGCTGGAGAAAGTATGTGAACCCTTGTATTTAGAACCTGGTAGAATCTCCTTTAGCAGCAATAACCTCCACCAAACGTTTCCTGTAGCTGCTGATGAGACTTTCACAATGGTTAGGAGGAATTTTAGACCAAACCTCCGTACAAAACTATTTCAGTTAACTGATTTTGCTGGGATTCCTTGCGTGAACAGTTCTCTTCAGGTCATGCCGCAGCATCTCAATTGGGTTGAGGTCTGGACTCTGACTTGGTCATTCTAGAACACAAATTTCCTTCTGTTTAAGCCATTCTGTTGTTGATTTACTCCTGTGTTTCAGGTCATTGTCTTGTTGCATCACCCAACTTCTATTAAGCTTCAGGTGACGGACCAATACGCTGACATTATCCTGTAAAATGTCTTAATACAATTTTGAATTCATTGTTCCCTCTATGATAGCAAACTGTCCAGGCCCTTAGGCAGCAAAGCAGCCCCAAACCATGATGCTCCCTCCACCATGCTTCACGGTTGGGATGAGGTTTTGCTGTTGGTATGCAGTGCTTTTTTTCCTCCAGACATTGCATTGCACGTTTTTTGCAAACTTGAGAAGTGCAGCAATGTTTTTTTTGGAGAGCAGTGGTTTCCCCCGTGGTGTCCTTCCCTTAACACCATTCTTGTTCAATGTTTTTCTTACAGCGGACACATGAGCAGAGACTTTGGCAAGTTCAAGAGATTTCTGCAGGTCCTTTGCCGTTACCCTAGGGTTCTTTTTCACCTCCTTCAGCATTGCATGCTGAGCTCTTGCCATGATCTTTGCAGGACGCCCACTCCTAGGGAGAGTAGCAACAGTACTGAATTTCCTCCACTTCTAGACAATTTGTCTTACTGTGTATTGATGAACACCCAGGCCTTTAGAAATGCTTTTGTAGCCTTTTCCAGCTTTATGCATCTCTACAATTCTTCTTCTAAGGTCCTCTGATATTTATTTTGATCAGGGCATAGATCTCACTTTCTTGAGATGAGTAGAGTCTGTCAGTAACCAACCTTTGTGTGCCTTTTCAATAGGGAAGGGCACCTCCAACCCACACCTCCAATCTCATCTCATTGATTGGAACACCCGACTCCAATTAGCTTTTGGAGATGTCATTAGCCTAGAGGTTCACATACATTTTCCAACCTAGACTGTGAATGTTTGAACGATGTGTTCAGTATTGACAATTTTTTGTGTGTTATTCGTTTAAGCAGATTGTGTTTGTCTATTATTGTGACTTAGTTGAAGATCTGACCACATTTTTATGAGTAATTAATGCAGAAATCCAGGTAATTCCAAAGGGATCACAAACTTTTTTTTGCAACTGTATAACTGTCTTCCTCAGCCTGAAGCATGTAGATTTCTTTGTTGCTAAATACCAGTTCATGAGGAATAATAACACCCTAATTCTCATAATTATGAATTAAAGGGGAACTGCAGTTCCAATTTCTCAGTACGGTTATTAAATCTCGGTAATAAAATAAATTCAATGACAGTTCAGAAAAAAATATAAAAAAATCAGAATTGAGCACAAAATTGTGAACTTTGTGCTGTAAGTTGTGGTCGCAAACCCTTGGTCTCACTATGTGTCAAATTGTGTCATGATGCAGCCCTTCCTGCTCACTCGTCACTGTAATGACTGATGTAATGTGATGTACAAGCAAATAAGTACAGGTTGTCCAGCAGACATTTTTCTGCAGAAATGTTCCAACGTGATCTGCATACAGAGTTAAAAAGTAAGTAGTATTTGTCGGCAAAACCATCTCAAAATTGAGAGCAGTATTTCTATTGGATTAAAAGAGATGTATTCACAAGCCTGCTTGTTTACAGTCATATGGCTGCATCACGTCACCAGATGTTTTGTTGCCTTGTTCTGAATCACAGAATATGGCAATACCTGGAAATTGTGTCTATTTTGTGATGGAAATTGGAGGTTTTACAAGTTACTGTGTACCTTTGAAATACACTAGACTCAGGGCCAGGATTCTGGCCACATGTTTCTCATCAGTTGAAAGCTTTCTCTTGTTCTTTCGTTATTAGATGAACCTATTAAAGGCTCTCTAACATTCAAAAAATGAATATTTGAAACGCCTTACAAACACCTTTTGAGGAACTTTGAACTTTGAACACCACAAATGTATCAGCTCTATCAGTCTGAAACATGGTTTAGGGCATCTGTACATGCTGTGTTGTGCTTTGCTTTTCTACTCATAAATGTGTTTTTAAACGTCACGGCGAACCTTGTCTGTTCCCTCTAAGCCGGAGGCTCACCTTTGGAGCCTGGAGACAAGGCAGCTCTCTTGATGGCGTACGTCTTCAGACACCTCTCAAACATGTCGTCCCACAGCTCCACCACTCCATCCTTGCCTCCCGTGACAAACCCCTGGAGAACAGAGAGCACCGTCGGCGCTGTGTGGTTAGGGTTAGGCAAACGGATTTCAGTCTGCACAGCAAAGACTTCATGGCGGTTCTCTGAGCATAAACGGCTTTGGCAGAAAATACTGAAAAAACATCCCGGTGTGCTTTGATGCTTCACGTTACATATTGAAGTTAAATGCAGACAGGTGTCCTGATTTAATTTGGTAGGATGCTTCCCGGCACAAGCTTGCAGCTAACACCCTTATCATAGCTGCTGAAAGCACATGGGCTGGTTTTTCAGGGAACTGTTAGAATCTGAAACCTGTGTGCATGAAAAAAAGGTTTAAAACACTGAGTGGCACACACATATGGAGAGATATTTCTGCACCTCATCTCCTGGATTAAGACTCGTAAGATTTGTAAAAAAAAAAACAGGGACATTTTTCTGTATTATTGGGATCCTGTGTGAACTATTAAACTGATTTTCACCTCGTCATTATTATTCGGTGACATGGAGCGCTGTGTTTATCTTTAGTTCTACTTGGTCAGAATCAGCTACGTCACTGTAACGCCACGCCCCCAGGGGACTCGTCATTCGAGCTCGCATTCCAGCACGGTCCCCAATTAGCCCATTTCTCCCAGCCTATTTAATGCTGCTTCACACTCTCCCCTGTGCTCAGAATTAGGCTTTTTCCTGGCTAGAGCTACTTCCATTTTCGCTACAACTTGCTACTTGGTTTTTGGCTTCCTGACCCTGGTTTGTTCTCCGACTACGTCTCCTGGTGATGGTTTGGTACTTTTGCTCTCGTTCTGTTTTCGACCCTCGGCTTCCTCACGGCTTCCGGCTCCGCTTCTTGTTCTGTACTTTTGCACCAGCTTGTTCACCTGCGGCTTTCGGACCTCAGACTGTTATATCGACTACGCCTAGGGTCCTCACTACTATTATACACTACTACTATAACAGTCACGAGACAACAACGGAGAGGAAATCTCATTGTTGATTAAAAAAAGATGATCTATTATTACAGTTTATTGTTTTTAAGTTACCTAAAACACAGCCAAAACTTAAAAGCTAGAATTTAGTAGCCCAATCCTACAAAACATACTGTACAAGATAAAACTGCACACTTAATAATATTTTATAATTGTGGCTTCAAGGGCTTAACGTCTAAGTAAATGGACTAAGAGAAAGTCTCTAACTTTAATTGACTTGCTACAGAAGTTAAGTTTCAAACTAGAAAGACTGTTTTGGGAGACAGAGGTCTCTCTGTGAATTTTACACAGCTTGCATTTAATAGTTTTTACTGCACATGAAGACATTTCTGGTAAATTAAGATATCCTTGGCTAGAATGTGCTGTTATTGGTGGCGAGGGAATGCATGCTCAATGTGAACCACTGTTATCTCATTTTGCATGTTATTAAAATAATTATTTTCACCTTTTAAGACATTTGCTTCTGAATACCCAGTTACTTTTAACTGTATTGTGTAGTTTCATATTTTATACATTTCTAAATGCTCTAAAATAAATTGGATCATATGAATTAGCAAAGTGTTTTTGAATCTGTGTTTGTTAATTAAACCAGATAATGATTTTGCCATATTTACTAATTTCTGTATCTGGACAGATTATAATATATCTAAATATATTTTAAACAGCTATTCTTCAGTAGCTTAGAAAAATACCTGCAGGCTATCTAATGCACCTTAAACAGACTGAGCTCATGAATTTAGATTAATATGGATTAGTGTTGTGCTCATTAAAGGGGTTGATATGCCTATATTATGAAAGTGTCTTTCATTAGTAAAATAATTTTGTTCATCTCCTTACTGGCTGTAGTTTTCTCATTTGTTCTATTAAGGCTACTAGGAGAACCCTAGCTTGTAGCCCTTAGAACCTAAGTAGAATTTTGTTATAACCAGCTAATTACTTGATAATTAGCAGGTTTACTGCAGCAAGTGCAGGAAAAGGACAAGCATGGCTCTCAGTTTCTTCTCATGGTCTGGTTAGTGGTTCTTAGTAACAGCTCAGCCCAAGGTTTCAATGTTGCGATGGCTAGGTTAAGGGTCTGCTTAGTGAGGGTAATACGTCTATAATTGTAACACCAAGCCCACCAGCACCAGGGGAAATTCAGCTCCATCACTGGAGAAACATCTGGGCCTGTTCCTTAGATTTCTCTTTCTCGTGACCACCTTAGGCTCTCACTTCAACTAGTGGAAATACTATATAGTTCACTACTCCTACAACCATGTGAACAGTAGTGTAACACAAGAGTAAGAGGATTATTGGAGTGGTCAGCTGAATGCATTTAAAAGGAACATAAAGGATTTTCTGACATAAAGCAAAATCTGATGGCAACAGTGGCACATCACTGGTTGAAGTAATGTAAAAAGGTTGGTACAGGGTCCCAACACATGGGCCACTCAGGACTCCTTGTTTTGTTCTGCTTTTCTGTTTGTATTTTTGTCATTGGCCGCTCACATACAAGTCCTGCATCATAGACCCTTTTCAGTGACGAGAGGCTGATCTCAGCGGTCTCCTGTACCTTGTCTAGGGAGTACATGGCAAACACAGGCCCGTCATGGGCCTTGATTGTCTTCAGCAGCAGGGTGTCTTTCCAGATGTAGACGTCCCCCGTTGCAGCTCCCGAGAACACCAGGTCCTCAGCCCGCCCGTAGCACACAGACATCATCGTCTCCAGCTTCCCTAGGTTTCCGAAAGTCCCTCTCTTGAATGTAAGGCCCCCACCTGTGAGCAACAGCACACCGTTACCTCCACACAGTACTGAGGTATACCGATCAAAAGGGAAGCCTGTTTGCACAGGAACACATTACACTGAGCTTCTCCACTCTTAAACAATATAGCCGTTTATTGCTGAGGACCTGTGTAACCTTAAAGCGCACTGCACATGGCGAGTCCAATATGGACCCTATAATAAACCAAGCACTTTAGTCTTCCTATTTTGTATTGTATGTGCAGTGTAATCACTCGTTCTTACACACTCGTAAAATAAGGAAAGTATCAGTGGGGCATGGTGATTCCTGTTGCACTGGTCTCCAGGTTTTGTCCTAGAGAGGCTCACACTTTCAGGTCTTAACTGATAATACGTTGATCACAAATTAAGACTGCAACTGATTCAAGGAGGTAGCTAAGAGGATGGCTGCAACGAAAAGCACATGATTGGAAACACCAGCACGATGAACTCTGAAAGGAAAGAATGAGAGGATGTGATCAACTGGTAAGCGTGAAGAGATGTTTCGAGGGTTTAATTGATTTCAAGGGCAGAGAAGCACTAATAAAATACCTGCATGCTGCCAGAACTTGATGTGTTTCATTCCTACTGTCACCAGCTTGTCCATATGAAAAGGATTGCACTTTACTACAAAGAGTTTGTCTTTGTGGCCTCTGGGGGGGAAAAAAAAGACAATACGAACATACTATTTCTCATTCCGTTTTATCCACAACCCCAGAAATAAAGTTCTGACCTTACTTATTTCATTGAATTCAGGGCCAAATCTGTGCATGAGCACTGCAGTTGAGATCATTTACATTTTGCTGTGCTTTCTTACTTTAATCATGGCTACAGTATGAAAAGTAGTAGGACTGCACAACTTTGCATATCTAACAGCTTACCCCTAAAATAAAGTGTTCCCTCTATGTTATTGTTCAGGCATATTCCAGCGGATGGCTTTGAGTACCTTGCCGTGGCCAGCTTTTCACCCTTCTTCCAGTCCCACACTGCTATGCAGTGATTGTCATCTATGCCAACGGAAACTAAGCTCTTCCCATCCGCTACAAGACAAAAGGAAAGCAAACATCGCACCAGTCCATCCTTTAAGATCAGCACCACACTTGCTCATCGGTTATCGGAAGGCCGCTGAAGAAAACCCCCACACTGACAGGCAAGCTCCACACAGAAGGTGATCCCCTGTCCAGCGCCAAACCCAGGAGCAAGGAGTTGTGAGGCAAAAGCGCTACTGAGACTGGGCGAAACCAGTTTGAATTTGCTGAACACTTGGGCTGAGTGCTTCTTTGGGAAGTAACTGAAAAAGACACGACTTGACGTACCTGAGAAATCGAGTGCACAGACCCCTCTCTGATGGTGCCCTTTCAGAAGAGATAAGCACTTCAGAGTTTGGATATCCCACACGTGGATAGACGGATCTCGGCCAACCTAAGAACGATTACAGTCAGTTCTGTTGCCACTCTTTTTGCCATGGTTTTATTTGCAAACAATATGATCCCCATTAAACAACAAGGGTTTCTTTCTGTAAGTCAAAAGCCTGCTGTTTCATCCTTTTTTCCTGAAGTTTTTGCCTTTTACAAGCTTCACTCCATTACTCACAAGCACTGCATGTGAAAGAAATGCAGTTTCAATTTCTCCTGCCCCTGTACACAGGCTCTCAGCGCTGAAGCAGAACCGTCCCATCTCACAAATGACCTTGAACAACTGGGATGTCCTACAGTCAGTAGCAGATATATAGCAATGTACTCTTCCCTTTTACAATTCACTAAAATATACATTGACATACTGTAACTTCAGATGCAACGAGTGATATCAATACCATGAAAGAGTTCTGAAGACTGCTGTTAAATTCCTCCAGGGTTTTTAACACCGTGTAAAAAATTAATAGAATTAAGAAGGTGTTACAAATCATGGTAAGAATCTTTAATGGCTCTCAGTATTTTGCAGATTTAACATTCCAAAAGCTTAACTGCTTCCCAAAAACATAGCTAATTTGCATTAGTCTGGCCCCATGATTTCTTTAGCATAGAGAAGCTTGCAGTCCCCTCAGCCCAGATAACTGAGATACCTCAGCTATTGCTTGGAATGGAAGGTCATTGCCACTCGAAAGCAAAACCAAGCAAAATAACTACCCCAGAAATTTGAAGCCAAGGGGAGTGAGAGTCGCTACCTGTCCTGTGGCCACATAGTCCTTCACAGGGTGGAGGGCTAAGCTTAGGATGTCATCGTCGTGACCCAGGTAGAAACGCTGGGTGTGCTGCTGTCTGTTGTAAATGACGGCCACCGCGGCCACATGGTACACCACCTCTCCCGCCTGAGTATAGAACAGGTTGTTGCGACAGTCGTACCCCCGGTACCTGCAGGAGCCAGGAGGACACATGCCAAAAGAGGAGCTGAGCAGTGACTGGGACATGCCAGGCATCCCTGCACGGCAATGCAATGCTCTGCATGTCCTGTGGTGACAAAAATGGCCTGAGTGCAAAAATGCTTATGGCCTGCTGGAGGGGAGGACTTGTGCGCTGTTTTCATTCTATACTCGTCCCGCAAGGGGAAGCAGGTTCCCAGGTTTCTGAAAACACGAGGCCATCCCGTCCCCCCACTCCAAGAAAAAAACATCATCATATGTATTTATTTTAAAGTACATCCGACAGCTATAGCACCCTGCAACTCACAACAAGCAACCCACAGAAGCTCAGCAGGTGTGACCTTATAAGCCTGCTGGAAGTGGTGTTAGTTGGGCCAGTAGGGGGCGCTCACCCTGTGGTCTGTGTGGGTCCTAATGCAGTAAAAATGCAGTTTGGATGAAACGATAAACCGAGGTCCTGACTCCATGGCCATTAAAAATCCCAGAGCATTTCTTGAAAAGAGTAGGGGTGTCACTCCTAAATTTCACCCTGGCTTTTAGCCACCATGGCCTTCTAACAATCCTCATGTATACTCCAAATCGGCTTCATTACTCTCTGCTCCTCCTATATCCTGTAAGAATTATATAATAAGGTAAATACTTCTGCAAAGGTTATTTTCCTATTTATTGCCTTGACTTTTTTCATCCCTCCAGCAGTTTTTCAGTATTTGACAAATGCACTTTAATCTGCAACAAAGGAATACAGATTTGCAAAAATCTTCTATGACGATGATAAAGCCAGTTACATCTAAGCCCGCACTTGAAAAAATCAGCAACAATTCTGTATGAGTTTGATCAAATTTAAAATGCAATGCAACAGTCAGTAGCCAAATATCAGTGCAACAGATAGAGTTAAATGTGGCAGGACAAAAAACAGACTTTAACGGCAGGACAAGATTAGGGTGTTCCCCTAATGAACTGAATGAGTTGTAAGGCATTAGAAATTAAATACAACTTGATCTAATACAAATTAAATACTTTAGCTTACTAGGAATAATATCTGTATGCATACTTTTGTTTTTTAAGGCTGGTGAAAAGATGATGAAATCAGAAAGGCTGCTTTGTTAACCCTTTGAACTTTAGATGTTCTTTACCATAGAATAATTCCCTGTGAATTCAAAGTGACAGCCTGTGTTGCTCGCATTGACTTTTGTGTGGAATCAGTTAACAATTCTAGCAATTCTTCAACATAAACATATTTTTTTAAGAGTCCGATTTGCTCTTGCCAATAGCGTTTAATAAACTTCACTTTGTTCTTTAACCTATTTCTTCAGCATGTGTTCTCTCACAGAATCCTAGTGCTGAGACTGCATGAAGGTTACCCATGAACGAACTGTAGCCTGAGACCCTCGTCTGGCACTCTCTCGCGCTTCAGGGAGCTGACAGGCAGGTTCTTCTCTCGGCTTTGTTGCTTGAGCTGAGGTAGATCTTCTTTGTAGACCTGGGACATTGAGAACAGGTGTCACTGCATCAGAGCTGACAAAGCTGCCCTTGAGGATCACCGCTACGAGCAAACACAGAGGCGGGCAGGCCATGAGATGACATCTTAGGCTTAATATAGAAAGCTTTCATTTCCTAACAAGTAAATGGACTGTGAAAATAATTAGTATCATGGGCTGCACATTTCTAAACAAGGGCTCTTTTGGTGCTTTCTGTGCTGACATGTTGTTTAAGAAAATAAAAGGGAGGTAGTATCTGCCTGAATGCAGGAGTGCAACTGCTTTGGGAAACAAAGCTTAGACAGACTGGAAAGGTCAATTAAGGAGAAAAGACATTCTGGAGGGTTTTTTTCATTAATATTTAACACCTTTTTGTCTCCACTCAAAAGGTCTGGATTTAAAAACCTCTAAAGATTTCTAAAATGATCAATATTTTCATCAGCCTGTGTTCTGGACCCCTCCCAGCTCCCAGCTCCTGTCTGAGAAATGTCTAGGGAAGACATTTTATAACGTATATTTGATAAATTACCCCCTGCAAAATGTAATTGCTCTGGGTATTTTGTAAAAGGTTAACATATAAAAGCAGAAAGGAAAACAAACCTGAGGAGAGAAAAAAACATTTTGGAGAAAAGAGCAAATATTTAAATTAAAAAGTCTGATAAGGCTCTCCAATGACATTAATTAGACTTGTGGTGTTTCTCACGGTTTCCTCTCAGCAGAGACATTTCCGCAGACTAGACTCGGAATGGCTGAGGTATACATTTCTATTATTTTTTGTAACTTATAGCATCACCTGATAATCATTTTAGCAATGCATAAAAATAATTTAAGAACCAAATGGAAGCAGGTGCTGTACCTCAAAAACAGTCAATTCTATAAGCTGAAACAGGCAGGATAGGGATTCGCAGCATATATTCAATGTGCATCATTTGATTTAATCTATCTTTAGTTATCACCATCAGCCCTTTTGAGGTTAACAGTAATCAACCAGATCTCTGAACGCAATCAACAAAAATCCAGTCTTCAAAAAGGTCTCCCTTGCAGTCACTCTCTAAATCTTTTACATCTACAGTAGTGGCCCAATTTCTTGAAACAGCTTTACTTCTATATTCAGCTTTAACCACACACACAGAGATAAACATATACAAGACACATACATTAAATAATCCAGAAATTTGTTTTTGAACTTTACATACACAGAACCAAATTTTTTTGTCTTTAAACCTGCTCATCTAACTTTTTTCCCCAGGTACAATAACATAAATTATCTAAATACTGCTTTGTTTGGTTCTTCGTACTGGTCTCTGTGCCTTGATTTTCATTTCTTTTGTGTATTACTGCAGAGTTTAATGCAGAATCTCACTGGTCCATTTTTGTAACTCCATGATACCACCTCAGATGTGAAGTAGGACAACACCAAACAGTCTTCTGTGATTCTACATTGACTTTTACATAAAGACCACTACCTGCGGCAGTTATAGAGAAAGGTAACAATGAGCCACTTTAAATTCGTCCTACTCAACTCTTTAGAACATTTTAATCAATAATAGGAGTAAAAATGGTTTTGGCTCAGAAGTGACACCTTGCCTACAATATCAGGCATTGAAAATGTGTGAAACCTGCTGAGTTTAGCAGAAAATGGGTTAGAATCAGATTAGCAAGAGAACACCATCTTATCGTAATTGCTGTACATGTTGTTATACTTGGATCTTATTTTCAATTAAATTATTTAAATATTGAATTACCTTCTTTTCTTCTTACATAAAAATCCAGGATAAAGTCATATAAATGAAATTAAATTGAATTTCAACTAGTTATATGTGAAGAGGAGTTTTAATTGACTCCTTTCTGAAAACATTTACTTCTAGTTACAAGGTAAATTCACACAGAGTTTGACAGGTTTCTGACCTTATTGAATTTATCCTAGTGTCCTTCACATAGAAAAAAGCATTTATAAAAATACAAAAGGGGCAATCACTGATGAGCAATAGGTTATATTATCTACAGAAATACAATTATTCATTACCTTTCTAGCACTCTACAAAATGTAATAAATCACACAGTGGTTCTACTGACCTGACGGTCATAGTTTATCTGGGCTTCTTGCTCAATATCGGAGTCCAGTTCTGGTACGTCTGACAAATCTGAATCCGATTCCTCACTATTGGAATCTGCATATCCTTCTGCGTGAAAGAGAGAGAAAGAATACGTTAAGAAACACTCCCAACAATGAAACCAACGATATTTTCATTAGCACAGCTGACATCTTTAACTGCATGTCTATGCTGACAATGGACAGTCTGCCGGCTCCAGCTCCTCCAAACTAAACTGTTAAGAAAGTGGACGGATGGTGAATGTTAGTACTACTGGTTTTCAATCTTGCAGGCGATTGAACTGGCATCATTACAAACCAATCATTGCAAAGCCATTATAACCCCAAGTTTTATATATTGTACAAATTCAATACTTCAAACTTTAAACCACAAAGTTAAACCTGATTTTCTTAAGCATTATGCCACAATACTTTTATGGTTCTCCAAGTCATTTCCTTTCATTTAGCTTAAGCAGTAGTGTTTTGGGAAACTCTTGATGTTTCCTAGATAAGAAAACAGCAGGAGAACACACAGTGAAGAATAAGAAAAGACTCTGGTTTGAAGGATTAATGGGTTAACGTGTTAGTCAGCTGCCCTAGGGTGTTAGGTTTGAGCAACATACGAAAATCATAAGAAACCTGTTTTGTTTTCAGCTAACTAAATTAAATTAACTAACTAAATTAAAGCTCTCGCAAAAATACTTATTTGAAACATAGGTTTAAAGTGGTCCACTTGGGCAGTTCACTGATGCTGAATTCAGTATTATATTCCTAATTAATTGGAGTATATATTCCAAGTTAATTGGATTTCAGTCAGCATGTACTATGAAGTTAATAAAGATAGTTTTGCATTGTGAGACAAAAAGCCTAACTTTCCGAATGTCAATGACCTGTCAGAGAATTCTTAATCTGTCTGAGTCATCACGGTCTTCATTTGCAAAAGCAAAAGGAAATATAACCAGCACAGACAACATTCATCCTAACACTTCACCCTGGACAGGAGGTTCCAGGCATCCATTTATGAGGCCCTCCGGGAGGAACCTCCACTGGAACACGGAGTGGTCAGCCCCTCCAGTGCTCAGCACCCACTGCAGATCGTGGGACCAGTGCACATTGGTCACGTGGGCAGAGTGGCCAACATACTTCTTGAACTTTGCCCCTGGAGATGGAACGAGAAACGTCTGTCAAAAGCAAGAAAAAACTCAAGAAGAAGATGATGTAATTTGCCAATATGAGAACAACGTTTTGACAAGAACAGCTCTTATTATGAACCATTATTAACCATTAACCAATTATGAACCATAAAATGATGGATTCAGTCATTTAAAACACATTACTGCATTTTACGGAATGACGTCATAAGTATATTTCTGCAGTTAGAACACCCTTATAAAAAAAGTGTTTTTAATTGCCAGGTTTCATTCCCCACTTGCTGCAGAAAGGCACTGATCGTAAGCCCAAAGCAAAATAAATACAGAGAAACGATCTTTAAAAAAACAATTACACAAAGAACTGACGGGTGCCATAATCACTTCAGACCATCAGCAAAAGATGGAAAATGTCTGGCAGGGTAGAATTAATCTTTGCCAGTGTGGGTGATTGAATTGTGTGCCAAGGGAGTCATCTTATTTTCCACTGATAGGACAGGGACAGCAGCTTTTTCACATCTTAAACACAATTTTAAAACCCATTTTACAACAACTTGGCAATGCTACCCCCCGCCATGCTCTCTATAAGACCAGGACTATTTCAAAACCAGTTTCCTGCAGTACTTTAAAACTTCAGTTCCTGGAACTTGAATACACCAAAAATAACAGGTTTGTTGTGATACAGAGCTCAAAATTCTGGAACCCCAAAATCATCATGGCAATCAAAACTATTTTAGTGTTACATAAGAAAGTTTACAAACAAGAGGTGACCATTAGTGCCATCTATCTCAATTAGTTTCTACAACCTAATTGATCCAGGTTTTTCGTGAAAGAGACCATGGTACAGTACCAACTTCAACATATTGGCTGGGCAGCTTGTTCAATACTCCAGCAACCCTTTGTGTAAAGAAGTGCCTCCTGTCCTCCATTTTACAATCAAATGCATCTTCCCATAGTTCCCACTCAAGAAGGCTTAGAAATGCGAACGTAATGTTCAAAGGAGGAGGCAGCCACTGAAAGCTGCAGGACTCAGCTGACTGAGCCGGAGGTAGGGTACCAGACAGACCTGGGGCCGAGAGGATGTCAGGAAAGGCAGAGGCCGAGGGGCGGAAAGGAAGGGACCCGGGGCCGTGGTGGACACTGGGGGTAGTGGCAGGAGAGAAGGCAGATTTTAAAAACTGTGGGACACCTGCTGACTGAGCCAGAGGACCCCGGACAGACCTGGAGCAAAGCAGACGGCATCAGGAGCAGCAGGGGCTGAGAGGGAGGAACCCAAGGACTTTGAATTAATCACACATTGAATTAACACGAAAATAAAATGCACGAAAAGGTGTGAGCAAGATATATATAGCAAAAGCCAGTAACGATTATAATTTAAGACAGATGGGAGAACTGTCTTAGTTGTTATTCCTCCCAAACTTCAGCTTAGAACTTCTCTTCAGCAACAGGACCTTTTACTCTATTGGATGAGGTCAGACCACTAACAAAGAACAGCTGCTATATATCAACAGCCCTCTGTTGTTTAGCTCTTCGAAAACAATTCAAAATGTGAGTTGTGTCACTCCCGCTGTAGCAGAAAAAAACAAAATCCGAGATTGTTGCCTTCAACTCTCAGCCTCTCCAGGTCACTCCGTGATGACACCACAGTGATCATGAAGAGCGGGGAAGAAACTGGGAAAGGAATGAAGAGTCCTCCAGCACGACTCCCTTCCCACTCTCACGCCCCTGCACGGTACGAAGGGTTTCTGCTCTCATGAAGGTCAACTCTCACCTTTTTTCAGGCAGGGGAATCGGAAGAGCTTGACCAGCCCAAAGTCATCCCCTGAGACCAGCACACCACTGTTGTAGTTGGCGTCCACGGAGTTGATGTCATTGATGTCAGTGTATTTCGGCCAGATCCCACTGACTTCAGGCCCAATCACGCACGTCCAGGTTGCCCAGTGGATTCCTTTGATCTCTTCTTTATTTGTAACATTTTTACCAGCTGTGATGTTAATAAATATAAAGATCAGTCAGCAACAGTCCTTCTGTACATAGATTCTTGCTGTTTATGAGACACTGGGCTGATACAGTAGATGTTTACTAGAGCATCAACAGCACGTATTCTCATAATGACTAAATCGTTCACAGAAGCATGCCTGTGCCACAGAGCATGCATTCAGATAGTTACTCCACAAACCAAATTTCTTTTAAAGAAGCAAATTAGGGCCATTTTCAAAAACAGAATTTCTCAAAGTATGAAGCCTAACAAAGAGTCAGCAGCTTAGGACTGGGAGGTTATTTTCACACACAGATCGAAAATGTTTTTTTACTTTAAACTCACCATCATGATTTTGAGTGTGTAATGCTTGTTACGTAGATAAAATATAAACTGATTTTCTTATTTTTTAAGATCAATTTCTGCATCAACAGCTAATTTCTTTCCCCACAGTGTCTGCCCTGGTGACAGCTACAGAGTTTGCAACAGGCAGAGACAAACAAAACTACAGGCTTGCTTGTCTTAATATTAGATGTTAGTTAATATGGAAGCAGTCCTGTTACAAAATGTTTTGATTGGCACTGTGTCTCCCTGTCGTCAATTTCAGGAAGTCTAACGGCTTCTGCAGTTCTGAAGTTCAGCATGTCTTTACCCTGGTTACAGTGTGCTTAAAATAAGTGATATCTGTAAGTCTTAAGATGTGTTTTGAGCAAATCTACCGAAACACAGCATGCGTCAGCCTCCTCCTTGTTGGTTTCATATTTGATTTTGATTGAAGGCTTTTGTGTTCAATTTAAAAGGGCAGCACCCAGCCTGACGAGGTGAATCCTAACACTCACACGGCATCTTGTAGAACAGTCTCTCCCCGGCCCCGTCGTTGGTCTGCAGGAACTTGCTGTCCACAGACCAGTCCAGGTGGGTGATGAAGCTCGAGGACTTGCTGCACTCCCCCACTTTCTTGTAGCGCTGCGCCACCGCGTAGATGTCCGCCAGCCCGTCGTTGGAGCCCACCGCCAGGTAGCAGCCGTCCGGCGAGAACTTCATCTCGTGGATCACCTCCTTCCTGTCCTTGATGTGCACCACTTCCGTCATGTCCCTGCGGAGCCAAGCCAAGCCCGTTCGGATCACATTGTTCTTCAGGCAGGGGCAGATCCGTTTTCGCACTGTGCTAAAATACTGTTACGGCACGCCCCAAAGTCCTTAATTGATTGATTTGACCTTAGTTAATTATGATTCCGTTGATTTGCCAATTTTAAAACTTATCAGCGAATCAATGACAGACACTGATGTTCAATCTGAAAAAGGACAGCCGCCGCCAACGTGCAAATTCAACAGGATTTACGGATTTCAGGAATTTATCATTCGTGAACAATGCCTACTAAGACCCCTCTCAAAGCCCTTGTAGAAAGGAGGAGTAGGTCAGTCTGCTGAATGACCTTCATGTAATGAGCAGTCTATGTCTCATTTATCCTAAACCCTACAGCTCATTTACTCTCACGCATAATCATGAAGCAAGTCAACGACCGATGTAATTTTCCCACTTTCTAAGGCTATTGAGATTACTGGATTAAGGCAGCAGAATCTCAGCTGTGAAAACTTTTTATTAAACAACTCAGATATAATTCAGGCCTCTTCACCATGAACTTTCAGAGATTAGTGTTTCGCCCTGTTACTGTTCGCACCATGACTGTGCATCTTCCAGGAGCCCTGCACTTGATAGATAGCAGGTATATAATACACAGATACAAAATGCTCTTACATCTTCAAGCTATGGCATGTATTTTTTCATGTGATTAGTATAAAAAATCTTTATCCTAAAAGAAAAAACAGTCAAAGTGTTTCTGTTTCAAGTTGCATCCTTTCCAGAAAACACAGCTTTTTTTCATTTCAATCCATTTTTTTTCCTTTTTACTGTGCTGAGTATTCTAGGACCAAAGTTGTGAACTATGGCTACAGTGGCTCACAATCAGAGAGCTGCTGCCTTAACACCCTTCTAATTAACAGAAGTATGGAAACTGTATGAATAAGTTAAGTGTTAAATTTAACTGTATGTTTTCATTCTTCACACACATGCTCACAATTCAAAATCTTTGTGTTTGGCTTCTTCCAACATTCAGTTCATTCGACGAAACACTTTAAACTCATAAATATGTTACAGATCTGAAATACTCCATGTTTTAATGTTTTTCAATGTGTACTAACTGTGAGAGTCTGTAAAAACCTGAAGGATTGCAGGGAACATATACGTTCATCCACATAAAATGAAGACTGCTGCTAATGAAAAATTAAAAAGGAAAAATAGCACACTGTCCTGTCATTCAATATATCATAAATAAGAACAAGAAACCTCTACTATTATAAATGTTCTTTTGCCTCATAGGTGTATCTGGTCCTCACAATTCAAGCTGTTAGCTCTAACCTTTGACCACCCTCTGCTGTTATCAATCGCAGCTAACCTTATAAAATGTGAAGAATTATGCGCTGAGCTCCAGAAAATTACTTTCTAAAGCAAAAGGACAAGCAATAAATGAATCTTCCCCAAGTCTGATAGACGGGTGATGTCTTTCCACTTTCAGTCCTTCATCCTCAAAAATCCATTGCATGGCATTTACAGCCTCTGACAGAGAGCTATGAGAGAGCTGCAATTCAAGCTCTGCAATATTTCATCTGCCTCCAGGAATACAAAAGTGAGGTTCACTGTACCATTTGAGGTTCTAGCTATTACAAGCCTGTATAAAACTGAAAGCAATCTAGCTTTACAATCTGTAAGAGTGGGACACAATGCAAAGCCGATTCTGAGTTGGAAATCTCTAACCAGTGGGGTTTCAGCCTAAGGTATGCTGCAAATGAATGGTGGGGAGTGAGGTGCAAAACAGCACGGGGGGGTAATATAAATTAATACCAACTGCATGAATGAATGAATGAAGGAATGAAGGAATGAAGGAATGAATACACAAGTCACAAATAACAAAGCATGTGCAATTCCAGAAATCAGCGTCAGAAACCCAGAGTCAAACTTTAACATCCACAGATCAGAAACAGAGGCATAAAGGTAGAGGATGTCAGAAGAGCATGGGAGGAATACAGATTCCCTGATTATCGGGAAGAGCACCAGAGAGAACCCCTTTAACAAGGTGCTTGCATTTTATTAATTAATTATGTTTATATATTTCATTCCAGAGGATCCTGTTGTGCCTTTTCCTATCCCTTCCAGGGTATTCAAGCTCACACTTGATGGATTTAAACTCCAGTGAGGGCTTTATTCCCATCTGTGTACAAGAACTATCTTGATTCTTCCGAGAAGGTCAAGCTGACAAAGGCTTACCACAGAAAGAGGAGAAAAACACAGAGTGAAAAGAAAGAGCAGGGGTAGGCAGTGAAGAAACAGAAAATAACAAACATTCAGGAAACAACGGGAGTTAATTAATAATGCTAAGAGGGAGCACAAAAACTCTGATGAAATCCACTTTATTTTTCACCTGCCAAATATACTGTTTTGCCACTACAGTGCAATCTGGACTTTCTAATGGATTCCACACAACCTTGAACCCTGAGTGTGGGACACACAGCACTGGAACCATATGGTGATTCCTGAAAGATGAGTGAAGGTTTACTGCCATATCACTCGGCAATGGCAACTCTGAAGGCAACAGTGTGCCCACACACTTTATTAATGGTGTGTGAATGAAAATACATGGACTTGCAAACACATTACCAGCTAGTGGTTATGGATAACAAAATGCATTGCACTGTTTTAGAAAGGGGACAATTTATCTAGAGTTAGAAGAAGCAGTGCAATTGTTTTCAATGGAGGAATCAGAAAAAGCTTGAAAGCAACCCTGAACATTTTTAAAGGAAGAGCTCTTTGCAGTTAGTTTCAATTAACCTCATCCCTCGGGCGCGCTGTGCTAAAAGAAATTCACTCTAATTAGAAGGAAACCGCCGAGAATCAAAGAGCTGCGGCTCCTTCCCCAAGTTCTGTGGCTACAGAAAAGAGTTTCAGAGATGAGGATCAAAACTCTCGGATAAAAAAAAACTGCTAGTTAAATACAGAATTATATACTTGTCTAATGAGCTACAACGGAGATGTACCCTCTGAGTGTATTGCCAAGGGATTTGTTTACCGACGTTCTCTTTCTTCACCCGCTAGCAATTATTTTCTGAGCTCCAAAAGAAAGCAAGTTGGATGAGACAGATGAGTGGAGGCTTTAGCATTCACCACTTCAGATATCGTGAAACAAATCCGCAGCACAGAACAACCTCTTGCCAAAGTTCTGTTTTTTACACTGCTGATAATAATTGTTCTAATTGAGGGACCAGTTGCCACAGTGAATTAATGTATTATCCTTGGTTTGGCAGCCTCGGAAGTAAACAGACGTGTATACTGTATGTTGGCTCAGTTTATTAAAAACAATAACAGAATTTTTACAGCAAAAGTTGGGCACATTTCCTTATTTTGCCTTTCTGTCAGGCTTATGTCCATGCAATTTTGTTCAGGATGACAAAAATAAATAATTGCTGTGTAGCGCCTTTTTCAAGAAGAAAAATTCATGACCGTTACATTTTAGACAGTTTAACCGTAATCTAGGCAATGCATCAAACTCATTTGTTCTTCAGGCTAGTGTCATTAGTCCTGTAGTAAACCTCTGTGGCACCACAGTCTCTGTGGTTTACATCAATGCATCTCACAGAAAGAACGGACCCCCTCACACTTTCAAACCTTCAGCTCCACAAAAAAAAAACACCTGAATTTGCAAAGCCACTGATTCATGAAACAGGAAACATTTCTGCGTCAGTTGTAAAACCTATAGATATTTTTAGCATGCTGTCACAAAATTAGACTGTCGTGTTTATTTTTAAGATCATATATTTAATACTGGGAGAGAGTTCTAGTAAATATTCTGGTGTCCTAAAGCCATATTTTCAACAGTGGCAAAGTTCACTATGGCTCCATCAAACACAGACTAAGCCAAATAGCAGATAGGCGACTATTATGTCAACTGATTACACAAATGGCGAAATCAATGAAGACTCGTGTCTCTATTACAGCCTCAACGTTTAAATCACAAAGCCCATGATTTGCAATAATTATTCTTTAACTCCATAAGAAATTTGGCTTCCTGTTGACATTAAGTGAATTAATGTGCAAATGCAACTAAACTTCTTCTCCTTCACAGAAATCCATAGGGATTGCACAGTTGAGAAGATATTGATTTAAAAGTACCAGGGCAATTTGCAATTGCTTCGATTTTCACAATGAACTAAACTGATGTACATGAGTAACAAATTTAATGAGATAGAGTTTTTAGAGCGCTGCTAAACATTTGGTTTGCTTTTACTAACAGCTTTGTGACTTCCTCCTCAGGAGCCAGGATCTCATTGGGTCTTGGCATGCAGACTTCCTTATTTCTGGTTGTCAAAGATACTGTGTGGCTGACTGACTGCACTGACTGTGCAGTGTGGGTGACAGCTCTCACCTGACTGTGCAGTGTGCAGTGTGCAGTGTGCAGTGTGCAGTGTGCAGTGTGACTGACGGCTCTCACCTGACTGTGCAGTGTGCAGTGTGCAGTGTGCAGTGTGCAGTGTGCAGTGTG